TCTGACGTCAGACCTTTCTCGTGCTGACAGGTTGCTGAGGTCAGCCTGCGCCGGGCGGCGTCCTCCAAGGACGTCGAAATGTACCTCCTCAACTTCAACGTCAACATCGCGCACGGAATCCAGGAGGGAGTCGCGATCGGCGGTGGGCACTTCGCGCTCCTGGGAGGATGGGACACGGACGGCCACCTCGTCATTGCTGACGTCAACCCCAAGAAGTACCTGCGATACTGGCGGTGCACGCCGAACCGCATGTTCCGAGCGATGCAGGTGTAGTCACTTTCTTCACCCTCTTTATCCCTGGTTTCAGTCTCATTTTTCTCGTATAAGACTTGTCTTTCTCGCGCCTCATCGTTCCTGTTGTGATACACGGAAGCGAAGCGATGTACGGAGTCTCGACCAAGGCTGTTCGTGAAGCCGGGTCCGCGATTCGCGTTCAAAGACCTCATACAAACTGCGCTTTCTTGGACGCTGGCAATGGTTCTTTCTCCTAACGCTTTCGACTCTGGCTCCAGTTCTACCTCTTCTAGGTCCATTGAACACAGATTTCTGAACCAAAGGCCGGAAATTCACAAACCTGGCAAACTGCAGGGACCATAGAAAGTGATGAGTCAGATTGCCAACAATTCGCAGATAAAGAAGCGCTGCAGAGAATCCCCGAGCTTTGAGCCAACTGAATGGTCCAGTAGATCCACGTGGTCAGAGAGGTACATTCTAAAGCCGTATTTCGGCCTGAACCGTACCGTACCTCCTACTTGGCGGTACGACAAAGGCAACACAGGTGTTAAGTAGATTCCCGGTCGACGCGCACCCCAAGGCCTGACGTCATATCCCTCGCTGACGTCATATCCCTCGCTGCCGCAGGACAAGGACTCTACCTCTAAGCGGTCGCGGGGGTGCATCCGGATAACCCACAAGGATAACCCGTACACTAACCCGTGGCCCCAGGAGGCGGTTTGGAACCCGCCAGGCATTCACAAGGGGATCGCTGGGGTGAGCTTTCGCTTCTGCTCATGGTTGCTCTGCAGGTCTGCTTGTTTTTGCCTGCACCGAAAGGTCGTCGCTGGACATCGTTACCTGTGGTCCGAAGGCTGTGCAGACGGTCGTTTAGGTAGTGGCCTTAACACTTGTCTTGAGCTTTTCTTGTCAGCCAAGACGAATGACGATCCCAAGATGTAAGCCCTTTCGCAAAGGAATCATGCTAATCAGCTCATGCGTCATTTGCTTGGCAGTCAGTGGGAGGTTGAGGCGACAGAGGCCAGAAGCGTTGAGCTCGTTTGGGATTAAATTCAAGTACAAGAGAGTCTTGTGTAGGAGTGATTAAAGCTTGAACTTGAAATGGTAAAGGTGTTTCATGCTAGAGGCCTTTGTTCAGGGCTAAGTTCGAATTGTGACGAGATGACTTTAAAAGCTTTCTGCTTCCAACGTGCCAGGTCGACGAGCGCTCCCTGCACGCCCCCATCGCGTGCGGCAACGTGACGGCCATAGCGTATGCTCTTTCGGCGATCGGCAAGAAGACGAGCGTGGACGATATCTTCCACACGGCCCAGCTGCCGCTGCGCGCCGTGACCGACGGGAACATGACGCTCGCCGACACTTTTCACACCATGGTCGAGGTGGTGCAGACCAGGCAGCTGCCAGTCAAGGTGAATGCGCCCCGCTTCAAAGCTGGCGCTATCAAGCTCGTGTCGTTGTTCTTGCGCTTTAGACACATGCGCTGTGGTTTCGAAATCTAGTCGAGGCGGAGCGGATCATTGAAATCCGCGTCAGTGTGGATCAATACTATCATTTGACACAGTTCATGCCAACATCACCTCTTGTGCGCCTTTTGGGCTCCACTGGGTCGTACTCTATGTTTCAATTCTTTGAAGCAGTTCTTCTCCGAAGTCACTGAACCAAGCGTCGAGAGTGCTTGCAACCGGTCCTCTGATGACCACATATCGGAGACAACGTTTTTCACCATCCGACATGTACACTGGACTTTCTGGCTTTGTGGCTGCGCTTGCTGAAAACGGTTGTGGACGACTCAAACCCTTCTGACCCGCCTGAAGACTGCACTGTGAGACTGGAACAAACTTTTCGTTCTTTGACAATCTTGCAGGTGGAGATTTACCACATGGACGACAACAAGATTCTGCCTGAGACATTCTGGCGCTGTATGATGGTAAGTTTCACAATGCGCCCCCATCACGATAGAAATAGATCAGAGACTAAAGCCTGCCACGCCAACGTACTCGCAATTGCAAATCTGATTTTCTCTGTCAATGCTTGCGAAAGCTTTGATTGAACCTTGCAGAGCGAGTCCTCTCACAAGCTTTTTCTGGACCACTTGAAGGACGGCGTTTTGACTCAAGCCCCTTCAGGTTCTCCACGTTGATGATGAACTCCAACCTAGAACGTTGTGAGGAAGGCTTCACTGACTTGTAGGAGAATGCTGACGTTATCCTGACGCACTCCGCTTCTGCAGGACGCCGTAGCGAACCAAGACACAGCGGTGATTCTCAACTTCGACATCGACACTGCTCTGGGCGCAAAGGTCAACATTACAAGCCACGCGTCGGGAGGAGAGTACGCGCTAGTAGCAGCTGTCGATAAGGAGAAGTGAGCTTCCTTTCCCGCTTCTTGGCCTCATAACCTTGGACTTTGCGAGCTTGTGTTTACAATTTCGATGTTGCTTTTCTTGTAAGCCGCCGAGCTGCATGCACTCTTTACAGGATTGCAGAGCTTGCAAGATTACGTAGTGATGAGACCTTCTCAATGCGCTAACTTAAGCTAACCACAAGAAGGATCGGGGAGTTCAGTCTTTATTGTGAACCTTCTTTCTTTCTTCGGAACTTTCTCACCAATGCTCGCCCTATGTTCAAGGGCTCAAACAAGAAACAGGGAGTTCAAATGAACGGGAAAACCGTCAGTGATCACGGTAGGTTGTCAAGTCTCTGTAGCTTCACTCAACGCTGAGTGGCTCTTTTCCTACAGTTTTCTTCCCGATTGGAAACTTGAACTTGGTCCGGGGAGAAAGTGATCCTGGCGAATGTCCAGCCTCGGTCACACCACTTCTCACCCCAACCCAATCCTCCACCTCATTCAGCTTCATCACAAATCATTTAATTCAAAACCCGTTTTTTAACCCTAACCAGGGAGGAGGTTATCCTGGCAAGTGTCCAGCCCCGCTCCTATGCGCGCTACTGGCGATGCGCGGTTGGCCGCCTGTTTGCCGCGTGCAAGAAGCGCGACTTGTCCATCGGACGTGGCCGGGGCATGATCCGCGTCGTGAGCAAAACTTCCAACGCCAACCAAGCGCCCGCGCCCAGCCGACTGAACAGGTTAGTAACAACCGGTTCTGGTTTGACTAGTTTTGTTCAGCGGGGCTAGGAAGCTGCAAATGAGTACTGTACCAAGTTGGGAATGAGCTTTGAGTAGTCGATGCAAGTGTTCGTCATGTAACTTCAGCTCCGGAGCTTCGATCGGTTTGGATTGGGGCTTGATTGGAAAAGAAGCGAATGGGACGACTTTCTGAAATTGACGTCTGGTCTCTGCATTGTCGGATTATTCCGCGCGTCTTACGATCTTATCAGTGTTTTCAATTGGATAGCCGTGGCTTGCAAGAGCTGCCTGTGCTTGACCAGTTCGGACACTCGGTTTCGAGCGGGCGGTGTGTGTCTCTGTATATCCACTTCCCCCCCAGAACAGAGTTTCATCATGGTCTCGTGTCCTTTTTAAGCTTTCCCTGTCACGTACCCCATGGCCTTTGAGATGCGAGCAATGTTCGCGTGTCCGTTCTGTTGTGTCACTGCCGGTCTATGTCCGCCCTTCCCGCCCTTCGGTCCCCCCTGATTCCGCCGTTCCGCCCCCTGCAGCGCCTTCGTGTGCGAGGCCGCGGAGTCCGCCCTCACCGCGTACAACATGGCCAAGATGGCCAACAGCGCCGAGCGCCGCGCATCCACTTACGAGCGCCGGCAATCCACCCTCCGCCGGAATCTCGGAATTCCGCGGGCTCCTTCCCGGGCCCAATCCCGGAACCTCACCCAGACCGACAGCATGTCGCCCAAAGTGATGTCCATCCTCGGGCTCGAGGGGGATCCCTCCGGAGCAGGCCCCGGGGGAGTCCCCCGGGTGCAGTCCGTCCGCGCGCGGCCGCCGGAGCCGATGCCGAGCATCATGGAGCGCCCGGGCCGGTACGACGTTCCCGTAAACATTCCCGAGGAGGAAGACGACGACGAGAAAGCCGCGGCGGGTGCTAACGTGCAGCCGGTGGACGGGCTCGCAAGCGATGAAGAGGAAGAAGAAGACGAAGAAAATATGGTCGGGGAACAGGGGAGCGACCCGGTTGCTGTGGCGGAGGCTCTCGGGGTTTACTCGGGGAAGCCCGACCGGCCGTTTTTGTTTTTCACATACGGGACGCTGAAGCAGGGGTTCGCGAACCGGGGACAGTTCGAGGAGGCGCTTCACGACTTCGTGGGGCCACGTGTCACCAAGGAGAGCCTGCCACTTGTCGTGCCGACGCTGCCCAGCTGCACCAACGCGGGGTGCCGGCTGCTGCACCGTGCGTGCACGCTGCTGGACGCGTAGGTTTCCCTCCCTAATTGTTGCCTTTGTTGGTTCCTTTTGGGCAGAATCGACACCTGCGCTAGGCGAATTCCCCGGAAGTGCTGGTGTTCAGACTTGGTCATTGTGCTACACTATTTCGGTCTGCTTTTTCGTGAAAGGAAGACCTTTTGATCTTATCCCGTTGCGGCATTTGTGACAGCTGTCTTTCTTTGAAGGTTTTTCCAAGGGTCTTTGGACCTTTCAATGGTCTAGCTGAGGTTCCTTCAACGGTTGTCGTTCTCTTGTCCGTTTGACCAGCACGAACGGGCCATTAGGTCATCAAAAAGCAGATTCTTTGCCCTTTCGTGCAGAGCGTCTTCACCTCAATTCAGCAACACCTTTTTGCAGCCGAACAGCAATGCACTGTGGCAACCAAAGTCTCTCGATCCCTCTTCTCCTGTGCTGACTTTGTCATCGTCTCTCTGCTTATGCAGACCCGGCCAGGGCAGTGGCCAGGTTATGGGCGAGCTATACGCTATCGACAAGGTAACGCTGGACGCCTTCGACATCCTGGAGAACTTCATACCGGACGACCTCGCAAACAGCTCGTAAGTTATCCCCCACCTCATAGGCGGTTCCCTCCACAAGTGGGGTTTGTTTAGGAAGGTCTACAAAGCTTCAAGCTTTCGTACACGAACTGCATTCTTCCTGCCGCTACGTTTGCAAATAGAAAGCGTGTGCAGGCCAGGCTTGACACCTTGGAGAATGCCTCACACCATACTCTTTCAGAAGTGTAGATTTCTCCACAAGTGTGTAGATTCTACTTATCCTTAGGTCCCACCAAGTTGAAGTGATTGCCTTTCAAACTTCTTCGACCAGCTATCACAAACGCTTTCGCACTTTCCATCTTTAAATCTGTTCTAACTCTTGCCTTCACCTTAAGAGCATCGGCAAGTCGAACCGAATTCCAAAGCTTGATGCCTTTCACTGTGCCTACAGGTACATTCGCAAGCCGACGGCAATCTGCAAACCGGACGGGTCAGCAGAGGCCAAGTGCCTAATGTACTACAGCGCACAGACTTCGCAGAAACTAGAGGAGGTCGACAAGGGCATTGCCAGCTGCGTTACGGAGTACACGCTCGACATGGCGGCCTCCCAAGGCTACAAGCGGTGTTGCTTGGTAAGCGGAGGTGCTCTGGTTTCGAAGTCATTGCACTTTTAGGGGTTGTAGTTATTTAAAGTCTTAAACAGCTGGGGCGAAAAGCTCACATGGGGGCGTTGAAATGAACTGGGTGCTTTTTAGTGAGCTCGGTTATGCGTCCCAATCTCTTGAGGTACTCAAGAAGGGCCCCCTCTAACGCTGCCTTTGACCTTCTCGCGCGAAAATGGGCCCCTCGACTGGTATGCCCTCTCCTTGATTCACAAACGAGTTCGCCGGAAAATTGCCCCCAAAGAAAAGCGTCTCAGACGACTAAGAGGGCCCCGATTTAACACTAAAGCGGCGCTTTCTTCTTCTACATTTGTTTTCGAGTTGCACGTTTCCTCTTTACATTCTTCCGACTCGGAAGACTCTTGTTCTGCTGTAAGAACAACAGAGGCGACTGCGAGGACCACACTCATTTGGACGACCATCGCCCACCAAGCTTGTTCTGAAAGAGGACGACACATTGTTTTAGAAAGCATATTGCCCCTCCCCACAGTCCAATGCAGGTACTGAATCAGATCTTTCCTCTGATAACAGATGAACCACGACCACGAGGGCCCCCACTGGCACTGGGACGCGGGCCCCCCCTACCCTGAGTAATATCGTCAGATAGGACATCGTTTCTGTCGAACAATATCCGAAATGCAGATATCCGAAGTCATTTGCTATACGTTTTCAAAAACACGATAACGAGGGGCCCCACTGGCACTGGCACGCCCCCCCCCCCCCCCGAACTGTCGTCGCGTGGGACGCCCCTCCTTTTCCCTTCCATGAAGTTTTTTCATTAAACCCATTTGCCAACCCCCCACAGATGAAGTACGACCACGATGGGCACTGGGACGGCTCCCCCCCCGCCGATGAATAATGTCACATGGGACGGCCCTCTTTCTCGTCTGGTTTCCAGAAGCATACCCCTGGAAAGGTGTTCTACCTCAAAATAGGTCACGAGTTTTTGAACGCGGAAAAGTTTTTGAACGCGTGTTTCGTATCAAACTCATGGACGACGTTCGACGCCATCAGCGGGTCCTTCAAACCCTATTATTAAATGAAATTTCGTTTTTGCTCCCCCCCCAAACAGATGAACTACGACCACGAAGGGCCCCACTGGCACTGGGACGGCCCCCCCCCGCCGAAGAATGTCGTCGCATGGGACGGCCCCAAGGCGAACGTGCTAGTCGGCAGCGCCGCGTCATCGGCCGCCGACAAGCTGCCGGCACTCGTGGAGGAACTGCTGGCCACCGGCAAGTTCAACGTCAAAGTGGTGCCGTCCGAGAATTCGCGGCACTTCTTCCGGGTGAGTGCTCTGAGGGAATCTCTCTGGTATGAGTGGTGTTGTCTTTGTCTTTTCATCCAATTATACTGGGCTTTAGTTATCTGGTCGGTAAGGATGAGTTGCTGCTACCGGCAAATTCGATTTGAAATTGGAGCCGTCCGAGAACTCGCGGCACTTCTTCCGGGTGAGTGCTCTGAGGGGATCTCATTTGAGGACAGGGACTCTGCGTTTCTTTTTCCTATTGACTTCTTTCCTCGGATTGGGCTCTCGGTAGATACCTGAACCGTGAGAGATCAGCTGGCCACATCTTCGATCTTTTGGATACAGTTCCAGGGTTGGTTACCGTTTTATACGTTTGAGTTCGGGGAAAGCCTTCGTTGCCACCTTTCATCTTTCACCTCTCAAATTCTGCTTTCCCGCATTGGGCTATTGCGTGATGGGTGGAAGTAACTGCTGGCTTTTGGTGCAATCGGCGTTAAACCTATTTCGACGTTGACCTGCTGATTGAGCACGTCTTGATTGCGTTCGTCTTCGCTTCAGCATATTCACATCGGCTACAATCCTCTCTGCAGGATGGCATGCGGGTCCTCACATCGGTACTGAAAGAGGACGACATCTATTACGGTGAGAATACGCTCGGCCTCGCCGTCTTTGCTTGCTTTGCTCTTTCCCGGCTTTGCGCTGGGGTCTGTCATTCCAGTGATGTGTCTTGAGATTTGAATGGAGTGCTCGGAGTTGCCTATCTTTTCGGACATCTACCGTGGCCAAATTAGGAGAGAGCAGGAATGGTCGAAGCTCAGAAGACTGTCAACGTGCGTATCGCCCCGGTCACTTGACAGCAGTAATTTTAAGTCTCTCGGTCGTACTGACTGCATTTGTAGGTCGCGTAAGGTTTTTTAAAAATGCCGCTGAGGACGCTTATTCCTCAAACCTGGCCAACAATCAATAAGATGCTCAAATTGAGTGCGACAACTGAAGTATCATCTCTCTTTTGCAGACCACCATGAATGGAACTTCGAGTACACGTTCGGTATGCCGGTAAGTGGTTCCCGGGACCCTTTACCTTACGTAGCTCGGTCGATCTCCTCCCTGTTCCTACCAAGCACCTTGCTTCCTCTTCTCGTTATCGCTGCCGTAGGTTGCAGTTATCTTGCTCCATGTGAAAGCCTCGAAGCACAGTGATTCACTTGCTCAAAAAGCTTCCTCTCAAGCTGTGCATCATCGACTTAACATCTTCTGTCCATAGATACCAGATTCTCTTCTTCCCTTCTTTGTCTTAGGTCTGTTCTGAATCGAGCTACGCTATTCCCCCTTACGATTGCCTGGATACTTCTTCATCCTTTTCGAGAAACTTTCGGACAGTCCGGAACACTCTCTCAAGAACAGCTTTCCGTAAGCCACAGCCCGGATCCACTTTATCATAGCATGGCCCTCAGAGCGTCACTGAGCCCGCAAAGTAGGCCCTGAATAGCCTGATACCCTAAGACTCAGAATATTTCGAAACTTACAAATCCAAACCCAAGGACCGCTTCCTCCGCAGGTGATTGCTCGGCATCTGTGGCTGCGCGACTGGGCCGACATCCTCATCATTGCGCCGATGACGTGTAACACGCTCGGCAAGATCTGCCACGGCGTCGGGGACAACCTGCTGACGTCAGTCGTGTCCGCGTGGGAGTGGAAGAAGTGAGCGCCTCGGGAACCACACGTCCCGATCTCATTTTCGTTGCTTCTCCAACATGGCTATAATTTTGCCTTCAACGTTTCTAGATTAACCTTACGGCCGTCAGAATACAGATGCCGCTCCTGGTTCCTTCTCCAGTACGCTTTTCACTGCTCTGGATTTGTGCATGACGGATACTTCGCGCCAGCTTCAAATGCATGCGGTCTGGACAATCGTGGAGGCCCTCTCTCGTTTCACTTTCTTCCTTCGTTCCGGCCTTGGCAAGAGTGACGAGTGGTGATGCGGTGCTGAATCCAGGTCGTCAGCGCATTCCTTAGCCAAGCGTCTGTCTGGTCATCAATGCTGCCACCGGAACCAGAATCCTTCACCTGCTTTCGAAAGCTTCCTCCAAAAGAAGGGCACGGGAGCGCCCTTTTCGAACATGCACTGTCCATTTTACCACTGCTCACAAGCGTTCCGCTGTTCCGTTTTCCGCTGCAGGAAGCCGTTCATCGCCGCGCCCGCCATGAACTCCATCATGTTCGACAGCCCCGTCTGCCAGCGGAACCTCAAAACGCTCACGGAATTGGGCGCCACAGTCATGGGCCCGCGCAAAGCGCGCCTCTCCAACGGTAAGTGCTTTCAACCTTCTTTTGACACAAGACTGATGAGGAGTCTAGTCTGCGGTCGTACTCGATTGGCGACCTTCATGACAGCACCGTGCGTTTCTTTGAAAGGTGGTGTTGGGGTTACTAGCGGATCTCAAATGCGTCCCGGAGCTCGGCGCCACGATTATGGGCCCACGCAGAGCGCACCTATTTTCGGTAGCCTGCTTTGGCGGCCCTTAATCATTTGAAAGCTAGAACAGCAATTGTTAGTTATCCTCCATCCGATTTATGACGATCCCTTCTTACGAGCTTGTGAAGATCTTACAGAACGCAACGTTTTTCGCGTTTAGCAAGAGTGGCGTGGGTGCCGTGAAATGAATCCAGGACGTGGATGAATTTGTGCGCTTTGCCGACGAGGCGACCACCGAAGCGACGAAATTGAGTACCGTTTTCTCCATTTCACTCCCACCATTCTTGGTTTCACTACCTCTTTTCCAGCCAATCTTACGGAAGGCAAACTTCTCGTTGTTCAGGCAAGATCGGCGTAGGTGCCATGACGCTCATCGAGGACATCGTGCGCTTTGCGGACGAAGCGACTACGGAAGCCACCAAGCTTCCTTCCGCCCCAACTCTCGCGGAGGTCAAGTCTAGCGTCACCGGGAAAGAACGCTGGCGCCTCAAGGTCAAGGCGCTCGCGCACGCCATGGCCATCTCCGGCTGGCTCTCGCATTCGGCGCTGCTCAGGTGGGCGGTTATCTTGACACCACATCCATTTTCAGGGCACAAACGTCTGCCAGTGCCAATCTGGTGGCCGGTTTTGACACCGGGGGTAAAGCAAAGTCCAAATTAGTGTCAAGGTCAAGGCGCTCGCGCACGCCATGGCCATCTCCGGCTGGCTCTCGCACTCGGCGCTGCTCAGGTGGGCTGTCAAGATGACACTACTTTAGTTAGAGATAAATCTTTTCAAGGACACGGAAGTCTGCCGGTATCACTCATTATTGACAGCCAGGTTTTGAAAACCGGGTTCTCTGTCAACGCCATGGCCATCTCCGGCTGGCTCTCGCCCTCAGCGCTGCTCAGGTGGGCTGTCGATATCACACTACTTCAATTATAAATCTTTCGAAGGACACGGAAGTCTGCCGGTATCACTCATTGTTGACAGCGAGGTTTTGATAACCGATTTAATCTTGTTTTGTGTCAACACTATGGCCATCTCCGGCTGGCTCTCGCCCTCAGCGCTGCTCAGGTGGGCGGTCATCCTGACACTATACTCCTTTCAGGGGCAGAACTTCTAACTGTGTCAATCTGGTGGGCATTTTTGGGACCATCGTTTTTGGGGTTTTACAATCCTTAAGAACGAAGCAGTTTCGTGTCAACGCCATGGGCCATCTCTGGGTGGCTCTCGCACTCAGCGCTGCTCAGGTGGGCGGTCATCCTGACACACTTGTGGTTCTACGGGCTTGAACTTTTGCTTGTGTCAATCTGTACTGCTCAGGTGGGCGATGTTGATACTGGCCGAAGTTTTAGGCAAACCGACTCAGGTTTATGATAAGGTCGTAGCCGGCTGGCTCTTGCACTCGGCGCTGCTCAGGTGGGCCAACTTGTAGATTAAAGTTCTTTGTTTTGGCCTTCCGGTCTCAGTCTTATCAAAATTCATGAAATTTGTCAACACTATCCGCAAGCACGAATTCCACCGGTTTCTCTATCCGTGAACACTATCCGCAAGCACGAATTCCAACGGTTTCTCTATCCGTGAACCCTAAGTCGGATTCTACTGTATTGGAGGGCATCCTTGGTTTTGAAGAGACGCTAAGCCTTTAGTGTGAACCCTCGGCCGCGGCAGTTGGACGCGAGCACCGAAGCTGGGGTGGTCCGCGATGACGGATCTTCGGCTGTACGCGCTTTCTGCAATGCAGCCAAGTCGGGAAACGGCCCCGAGCATTGGAAGCGTGTGTTGGGTTCCGCTTGGTCTGTGCCCTCAAAAAGTTAGAGCCCCCCAACTCAAATAGTTCCCGCATCCAAACTCAATATAACAAAGTAAACAGATTGTCTACATGCTGCGCCCTAGTTTGGCAGACTCCGACCCAGCCCTTTCCTCTTTGCAGCGCCTTTTGCAAAACGCGGGGGATTTGGGGATGGCGGAGAGGCTCGGAAGCCTGTGACGGCCTCAATTAGGCTATGCCCCCAAAACCCTAGAACGCCCAATACCCTAGAATTCGCGAAAGTTTGATAACCTCTTGACTTTTACGTTCTCACATTCTTGTTCATCATTCTTGCAGCGCATTCCGCCATGCGGCCAATTCGGACAAGGGCGCCGAGGCGTTGAAATCGGTCCTGCTTTCCAGCTGGTTCGTTCCCCAACAAGAAAATTCAGGTTTCCAGAACCCCAGAATCCCGCAAAGGTCCGGCAAACTCTAAATACTGCCTCTCATTCGGCTTTCGTTGCAGTGCCTTCCGAAATGCGGCGAACTCAGACAAGGGCGCCGAAGCCTGGAAGCCAGTCCTGGCGTCTATCCGGTCGATGCCCCGCATCAACTTCCGCAGCGAGACGGGCGACACTGCGCTGCACTTTGCTGCGGGAGGGGAGGGTCTCACGAGCAGCGCCGGAGAGTACATCCAAGTGGGTTAATCTAGAGTTTGGGTTGAATCTGAATTGGTTCCCAGAGTTTGGGTCTGGGTTTACATTCGGATCCGGGTTTGGGTATGGGTCTGGCTTTGGGTTTGGGTTTGCGTTCGAATCCGGGTTTGAGATTTAGTTTTGGGTATGGTCTTGCGTTTGTATTCGCTTTTGAGTTTGGGTTGGATTTCTTTGAGCTTTTTTATCACGCTTAGGGTCTGTGTATGGGGTGGCAATCGTGTCGCGCTTTGTCACGGGAGGCATGGTCGAACGAGCGGCGCCGGAGAGCACATCTAGGTAGGTTAGGGTCTTGAGATTGCTCTGAGCGATAGGTGTTCAGAATCTGTTACCTGCATTTGGTCTGCATATGGATTGGGGGTCCACATTTTTTTTGGCATTCGTGTTGCACTTCGCTGTGGAAGGGTAGGGTCTGACGAGTGATGTTGGAAGTGTTGAAACTTTAGCATTTCCTCCAGAAGGGGATGCCGTGAGGCATGTCAGTAAGAATGGCGCTGACGTAGGTGTTTCTTTCCAACTTAAACCGTCCAATTTGAATTTTAAAGCGCTTACGTCGCCTCTTTCACAGGGCAACGGCAACGTGGATGCTGTGAAGCTGCTGATCGAGAAGGGCGCCGACGTAAATGCGGTCAACCAGTATGGCTTCACGCCGCTCCACGTGGCAATCAGCAACAAGCTGTCGGGGATTGTGCGCGTTCTGCTCAAGTCCGGCGCCGATCCGCTCATCCGGACCATCCAAGGTGAGAGCGGAATTGGGTTGCGGCCACTATTTGCTGGATGCGGGCAATTACGTGGACCTGTCTATCTTTTCCGCTCCTTCCGTCAAACCTTATTTGCGATCTCGCGCTGGCCATTGAAATTCTGCCTTCGCCCGTATTGCTGCAGCAAGAACCCGAACCGTTCCTTCCGCTGACCTTCCGCTGATATTCCGCTGACGCACTTTGTCGTTTCTGGCTCGCATGATTACTTCTCCTACGTGCTGCCTGCGAAGAATCTCAATCCTGCGCATGCTCACAACACGGATCAGTTTGTTGTTCCGCTGTGTTCCACTCTTCTATTCCGCTGTTCCGCCCCCAAGGTGCCCGCGCCCCTACGTGCTGGCTGTGGAAGACGAGACCCGCGCACGCTCGCATGCTTCTTGCTGTCCGATAAATGCGTCCAACCTCGTTCCGCTGATCTTCCATTGACATTCCGCTCACCTGTTCCGTTGTTCCGCCCCCAGGTTGCCCGCGCCCCTACGTGCTGGCTGTCGAAAAACAAGACCCGCGCATGCTCCCGTGCTTTGTGCTCTGGAAATAACGGGTCCGATTGTTATTCCGCTGAGTTCGCTGACCGTTCCGCCGTTCCGCCCCCAGGCTGCCCGCGCCCCTACGTGCTGGCTGTCGAGAAGCAAGACCCGCGCACGCTCGCGTGCTTCGTGCTGTGGGAGGAAGACGACGAGAGCCGCAAGCTGCCCGAGGCCGACGAGATTGAGAAGGAGAAGGCGGAGGGCGACGCGATGGTACAGATGGACGCAGACGCGGTCGCCATCTCCTAGCCCGCTGGAGGTAAGAGCGTTCCTGGACCTAGTCTCAGGCTGCTTATTTTGTTGGGAGTCACAACAGATGACTTCAGACAGCGACAACCCAAAGTAGCTCCTCTTACGTGGTTTGCTCGTTTCAGGTCTGTGCTCTCCTTTGGAGTCTCATTCGTTCGCCTTCAGTCCGCTCGTCCTCTTTCCTTGCGATGCGGGGATTCTATCAGCAGCTTGGTGTCTGCGTTTTGCGTCCTCCGTCCTCTCTTCCCGCTTTCTCTCTTGCTGCTTAGCCAGCTTTCCCAGACGACTCTTCAGGCCTGTTTCACGCCGTTCCCTTGCTTCTTATATCTTGTACCTTCTTCGCTTCGTAACGTGCCCTTCTTCCCTTCGCTTTTCCTAACGGTTCTACTTTCGTTGTGACTAACTTCCGATGCCGAGTCTGGAAAGAAAGGTTCCATCCAAGAACGTAATAGCCGTCCGATTGGCAATGTGTCAGCTCGTGCCATTTCTAGGCAAACTTGCAGCATCACGGGGGAGCCCGGTCTTTGAAACTAGGCATACCTTTACTGAATAAGAACATGGGTAACTCAATCCTGTAAAGGTGATACTCATATTGTGAAGATGTTCTTGTAGAAGCTAGATGGGACCGTTACCGTCGTACCTGATTCGCTTCTTCTTTAGCAATGGAGTATGAGATGCTTTGAGAGAATGCCTTTTGCGACGGTGCATGCTGATTGCCACTTTGTTGTGCTTATTGCGTGCATCTTGTGCGTGGCCTCTGACCACGAACTTTCTAAGTGTGGTGCAGGTGGGGCAGCGGTGCAAAGCGCTAAGCTAGCACGTCGTATGTAGAGAAGACGAGCGACAGTCTTTAGTTATTAGGAGAGTATGCTAATATCTAGAGGATGAGTCATAGTTCGGTCTTAAAGCAGGTTTATTGTGGTTTTGCGCATAAATATGGTGTCACGTGGACGTCATTTAGCGTAGACTAAGCGGTAGGCCACTTTTTTGGCACAGAGTCAGCGGTAGGCCACTTTTGCTTGGCACAGGGCACCTAAATTATCAGCCTAGAAGAGGGCAAAAGGACCATCGAACACGTTGTTTGAAAGCCTGGTTTGATCACAGGAGAGAACACGCGTTGCCGATCCTTGCTGGCAATCAAGAATCGCGGTTTGACGTCACTTAAGATGGCAAGGTCAGCAACGAGCTAGACATTGGCGACTGGATATTTGAGACGCTACTTTGCCAACGAAGGGTTGCCTTTGTAAACAGTATGTAAGTTTGCAGTTGTAGGGACTCTAAGCTGCAAAGTAATTAGTGCTTAATTAGTAAGTTGCACTTGCGGTGCACCGAGTCCTTTGATCTACAACCGTGGTGCATGATCGATGTCTTGCAGGTCTATTGATGACAGCAAGCCAGGCAATCAGCTTGAGGAACCTATCGATTGAACATGTACACATCATCATTAGCACGTGCGAGCATCAGATCTGATGCCAGCCGCGCACAGTGGCGCGTGCAGCACAAATCGATCTCGAGTGCATGTCACATGCAGCTGTGTTTGATGCCATGATGATGACGTATAGTGCATTCAATCTTAGAAGCCGCCACGCGAGAAACAAACATGCATGTTTAATAAACGACTATCGACGTTGTATCAATCGTCAATACATGACGGATGCGGCCTGGGGCCTCATGGGCACGCCATGCGCCAGGGGGCTACTAAGCTGTGCACTATAAAAAGGAGACCATGAGAGTAGCTTGCAGCGATCACGCAATAGTAACATCGAGTACTATTACGGATTTGTCTTCAATTCCATTAGCGCATCGTGCATTTGATTCCAATTGATTTAACTGATCAGTCAATTAGTTGCAAGCCTTAATCTCGACAATCGAGCACTAACTTGACCTGGTGCAACAAGCCTGCCTGCATGTTGTGCACCGTCACCCTAGCGAGGTCGGGTCGATCGGGGGTCATGCTGCATCACTACCTATTCTGGATTTTGTCCGGCCGTACTGCATTGCCTCTATTCACCACCAAACTTGCGCTGGGTCCGCCATCGTCATTAAAGTGCGCATATATCTTGTCTCTGATCGAGTTGCGTCGTTGAATTTGTGCCCGCCTACTTAGCCAGGATTGTATCAGCTCAACCTAACGGCGATGCTGTTCAAAGTGACCAAACGCCTAACCTAGTTGCGCTAAAAAGTATGGAAAGCCAGTTGATGAAAAAGATTAAACGATCACCTTGGTCAGTCTAACCTGCTGTCTCAAGCGTCTTTCACGCTGTTTTAAACCTTACTCTTCATTTCCTGCTTCACAAACAACTCGTCAAGCAAATCAGATACCCTCAACGTACCTAACACTTTTGTATTGATTCAAGCAGCCGTCAGTTGTGAGCGGAGCACGTAAAGTGCACTCCGCTCGCTTCTGGGCGCCCGGCTTGGACGCATTTATTGATCAAGCATTTCTGCTCGGAAAGAGATCTCAATCCGCGCTACTAAAGCTGTTGCTGTCGCAATTGCTTCTTCATCCGAATGCAATCCAGCCAGTGCAGTACTTCGGCGTTCGGGTTATTCTCAACTTCTGCAAACGCAAGAGTTACGGGGTTAGTAAGTTCTTTGCTTGACCAGTATTATGTTCCGAAATCGGCCAGACGGTTCCGCTATAACATTCACCAAATGTCCAGCAAAATCAAAAAGATGCTCAGAATTTGACTGAAAATACTTGCCTGCTGTTTCTACTTTGTGCAAGCAACGACCCATGATACTTGCCTGCTGTTTCTGATTTGTGCAAGCGAAAATCTCATTTTCCGAGAGCCTCCGGCCTCAAGTAGGTAAAAACACCCTACCATCCATCGGTTCAACTTGTGCTAGGTTGAGTAACATCGGAGCACAAGGACGTTACTAGGGGGTTCGGGTGAATTACGTTGTGGAGCGTAAACATTTGGGAGTTCTTTCTTTTGTCACTGTTGCTATCACCCTTCTTGCGCCTACTCGAGGATTATGAGAAGAGGAGGCTGCCAAGCTGCAGCACACGCGGTTTTGGAGTTATTTTATTCAAGGGTTCAGCGGGCTTACGCAAGGCGTCGACCGTAACTTGCCGCACTCCCCGGTATTGCGTCACTCGGCCTTGCACCCGCACTAGCCGCCCCAGCTGCAACTGCGAAGACACAAAGCTGAAAACGTCAAACCCGAGCCAAACTTCCGAGGCCTTCATGTTTCAGAACCCACTACCGGCCCAGCACAAAAGCAACAAGGTACACATAGAGCGGGGTTAGGCGATCTTCAAGGACGAAGATGGTATAGCCCTATGCTTGTGGATGACTATGGTCTGCACAGCCCTTTGAAGTGTCAGATTCCGTCGTGATTGCTTTGCTTGAGATCTACGTTGCAAATCGTTCCGTCGACGTAACAATGGTCGACAATGGCCGATCACAAACCCAAGTGATGAGAGAGGCAAAGACGGAAAATGAACACCCGTGCCCATGAGTCGCTAAAGCTGAAGAGTGCAACAGCTCAGGATTTTCAAGCACGCCGTCCCACTGCCTTATCTCAAGTGCTCGTCAGACGGTGGCTGTTCTTCTCGAGTGTAGGTACAAATAGCCTTACTGAGTTAGTAAACTTTCAAAAGATCGTCCACTTAAGATCTAGACATAGTTGATATGTCCAAGACCGCCCTATTTCGGGCGTCCGAAATCGTCTCACCTCGTGTGCAGCCTTAATTGCGAACGCCGTTTCAACGCCTGCCGCTACGGCATGCCGGCTGTCTTCCGGGGCGTCACTGCTGGCGCCGTTCGGCTGTAGCCACAGAATTGCCGGGACCAACCCTGTGCCGTCATCCACTGCAAACGTGGGGACAGGGTGATAGTTCTGTTCAGGAATCTAGATTTTTCCTTGTTGGATTTTTGGTTCTGAAGTGTGACAAAGCTCATCAGCCACAGTATCGGCGGGAGCAACCCAGTGCTGTCGCGCGCTGCAATCGAGGACCGCAACTGCACTGAATCTGCTTGATTTTCTGAGCAACTCTTGTGTTCAACCGATTAGTTGCTATCATTGGAAAACAAGAGATCGGCAAAAGACTGGCCGGAATCGACCCAGTGCGTCGTCCACTGCAGTCGCGGATGCGGTGACGAATCTGACATATCAGCTGACTTTGTTTTTGTCGGATTTTCTGGTATGACTTTGCGACAAGAATTGTCCGTTAACAAGTCGTCAGGACCTACCCGGAGCCGTCATCCACTGCAATCGGAGGCTGCGGCTGCCTGACACTAACCAGGAGACCAGGATCTTCTGTCTTGTCATCTTTCTTTGTAGGCCTTTTTAACAAAAGAGATTAGCCACAGCATCGCCAGGACCAGTCCGCAGCCATCATTTAATACAGGAACGATGCTGTGACGACTTCGTTTTTAAATTTCAGATCTGGACTGAGAGAATCCCCTTCGGTTAATCGAGTGTTTCAACAAGTTTCCTCAAAAATGTAAGAGTGGTACGTGTAGATGCAGGCACCGTCAGGCAACTCTTACAGCGAGTGTGTATCGCATCCCGTTTCGAACGTCCCTCTGATCTGTTACCTTGACTTTCCACGGTTCTTCTGACCCAGACTCATACCCGTGTGTTTCCTTTGGCGACCTTTCTTTCTATCAAAATAAGTCAGGCCCCGACACCCGGTAGCCATTCTTCCGTGGCTTCAAACGAGGCTCTTCAACTTAAACGTATCTAAGTGGGGCTCCAGCCTCTGCAGTAGCCTATCCAAAAGAGGGCCTTCCTCCCGGCCAGAGTCATCGGCTCTTGGCTTGATAGAACTGACCTGTACGGCGGCCTTGCCGCGGCGCTCCACTTCAACCGCTACACTTTGCACCCATACTACTCCTAGTAAAGCTTTACGGTCTGCCAGAATCGTTCGAGAGAGGGTCACTTTCCCTGTCATGTTCAAAAGTTGGAACTCACCTACGCAGCGCCTTGACTTGTCGCGGCACTCGACTTCGACGCAACCGCCAACACCTCAACCCTCTGTCAGCACCCTCTCAAAAGAGAGCCGTTTTCCCATTCGGAGGCATCGATACTTTTAGCTCTGTGAGACTCACCTATGCAGCGCGCAGACTTGTCGCGGCACTCCACTTCTACCGCCACCCCGAGCACCTCCACTCGCCGCACGGGCTGCCCGCGCAGCGCAAAGCTGCCTGCGCGCGACAAAGACGGCATTGGCAAGAAGATTCAGCATAACTCCTTGGTCCAATAGCACATCGAACTTAACAGCAAACAGGCAATCGAACCTCGTAAAGGACAGTCAAGTGCTGCCACCAGACCGTTCCGAAAACAGCTTTTGTGCCCAACCGGTTTGCTGCCCTGCACGAGCGGGTCAGCCCACTATGCTTCTTGGGCTCTAAAGATTCCTAGTGGGATACAGATGCCAAAACCCTGGTTGCGAGTCCCTGACAGTTCCTCACTGGTACGGGGAGGACCGCAACGGGACGCTGCAGGCCAACAGCGTGGGCTGCAACAGGCTAAGACAGTGCACGACGAAAACGGAGCAAAAGAGGGTCTGAGAAGGGCTCATGTCCACCTTTCACGGGCCCATGGCGCGAGTGAACTAACCGGCGACGTTGAAATCGCTGTCCACGTTGACCAAAAAGCGCAAAGCCCTTCTGCGGTGCTCACAAACCATTGAGATCTCTCGAGCGGACGATTAGATCGCTTGAGCGGACGCAAAGATGCTACACAGCCCGAGCGATTCCTTACGAACCAGTTGCAGCTGAGCCCCCTACCTGGCACTCCCGGCACCTCTTGCAGCGCCTCGACATCAGCGGCCAGGAGCGGAATGTGGGCCCAAAACGAGGGCGCGAGGCCCCATCGAGAGACGGGGGGCACGGTCGGGGCTGCCTCCTTGATTGATTCGAGATCGGTGTGTGGGTAGTGATGCAAGGGACCTGCCAGAAGAGGCTAGTGTTTCGTTCTTCTCTCAGCACTAGTATTTGAGTGCTGGGCCTTTTCATTTAGATGCGTATGGATACTTACTTAGATGCGCAGGTGCTGGTAGACCTGCATTGCAAGTCCTGAGAATTTGGGAGAGAAGGCTCCTATTCTTTTGAGGCGTCAGCGAATCAGAGAGGAATCAAGGGAGGAAGTAGTGTATTTACAGAGATCCCAACTGGTAAAAGCAATGTATGACCGAGGTACTGTGCATGAGCTGAAATGAAGCAGTTGACTGCTGCAGCCCTAACAACATGCAAGCAACCACAGCAGCGAAGCCACTCCAGCAACTAGAACATTCACCCAGGAAGTTGACAGAACGAAAGGAAATGCAGAGATCTCTGCTGTAAGGCCCCACCAGCAGTCTTGACGGATCTGTCTGGAAGATCCGGTTCTGGCAGCAATGCCATGTGCATTGCCAGCTTGCTGCTTGTATTGCTAACTGCTTTGCCCAGCCAACCGCCAGCAGGAGCTCAGAAGACGATTGCAATCTCAGAGGGCGAGGACAATATGGTTACTCGTGCTAAGAAATCTTCGAGAGGAACGTGAGAAAGTGAGAGAACTGCGGAATTGCTTCAAACTCCAAAGCTCTTCCCATTCCAATGCCGTCAAGAGTGTGTTTCAACAGGGCGAACACCAATGCCAATGGCAATGAACCGTGACAAAATCCATCCTTTCCATCTTCCGGATCTGAAATTGTGCTTAAAACTTAAAAGTTAAATCTCAACATGTGTGTGCGGTCTCATTCCAGCTAGCTTGCCGTTTCTCCAGCTCGGCCGCCGTCATGGCCGGGTACCCACCGGTGAACATTTATCCCGCCTGCCTGTCACTGGTGCCATGGGCACTCACCGGACAGCAGCTGCGCCGGTCCAAGTCCCGGCCTGGCAGGGTTAGAAACTTTATCAGAATATATATATGCATTAAATCAAGGATAGAGCTCTTGAAATGAGACTCAGAGCTCTCGTCTAGTTATGCGCCATGAGATGCAGCTGGAATCAGCTGGCCCGCCATTGCCATTGTCACAATGTCCCAGGGTTGTAATTACACAAGGGCCGTGCCAAAGCATCATTCAGCTCCTTTTATGGTCAAGCCGCCACGCTTGTAGAGGGATTCCAAAAAGCAGCTTCTCTGTGCAATATTGCTGCTGAAGGCGGCACTGTCGGTAGCCCTTTTACCTCTCTATCAACAGCATTTGGCGCTGCACTAGCGATACTTTTGCTAAGAGGGCATGTAGCCCTGTTTGCAATACCGAGTGATATTGCATATGCTTGATCAACCGTACATGCGTAACATTGACACGACAGCAGACATGTCCGCCTATTGATGTCAATCAGTCTGCACTGGAAACCAAGGAGTCCAAAGTTTGCACTTGCATTGGTTGCCTCAAGGTCCAGCCTCGGTTTCTAAAAGCTTGGCGCAGCAGACATTGAGCGGAAGTTCGATGAGTTCAGTGTATGGCTATGGGGGCAACTACAGGCCACCAGAGAAGGCAGTCGTTCAGGCAAGACCAGGAATACTTTGTTCTTGTGACTAATTTACCAACAACTCCTGGTGAAACTGGCTTCTAGATATTTTCTAGTTAAACAGCATGACAGCATTTGACCTTTTGCCGTGAAACATCCGCTTCTCAAGCAGCTTCCTGCTAGGACTGCTTATTGGTCAGGGGGTTGGTTCTTACCTTGAACGCTCCATCGTCCTGGAAAAACCACCCATTTGATTCTGCCATTACAATGCTGCTCACACCGCACTTTACTAAAGACACGATTCAAACTTCGCCGAAATCACTAAGGGACTGCTTCTGAAAGTGCCTTGCCATATCCATGCAATTCTGATTCACGCTTTTAAAACCAGGCCTTGTCATTGTTGCCCGGCCTCTTTCAGTCTTTTGTGACCTTGCGCTACTGTAACTTCATGCTCTAAGCAATCTGATTCTCAAAATGCTGATGGCCATGGAAGAAAACCCCCTCCAATGGTTACGCACTGGTTACCTTGGCCCACGGCTGCCAAACCCCTACCCAATGTCCTCAACTCCTGCGAACAAAATCTGTTCATCCAACTCAACTCAACTCAACATCCATTCCTTGCAGCCACAAAAGGAGAAGCCCCCTCCAATGATCACCCACTTTCTCCCTGGCCTCATGATTGGCTGGCTGCTATCTCGGCTCCACGCCCACCAAAGTCGGGCGTCTGACGAAGGGCCGGAAGATTCCGCATCGGAAAACGGGGGGAAGAGAAAGGGCAGAAAGCCGTTGCCTCGAAGAGCGGACCTTCCGAAGGGCGTGGTGCAAAAGTCGGGGCCGTCGAACGCAGCTCTGCCAGCAACGTTCGCAAGCGATGGGCAAGAGATGAAAATGGTGGGCCTTCCGTCGCGCAGCTGATTGAGAATCCGAAACGAATCCGAGCTTACTGTTGTTGCCTGTGTTTGCAGTCACTTCGTTGACAAGCTCGTCCTTTTTTTCTATTCCATGTTCCCTCAAAACCCAAAAAGTATTTCCAGGTTATATCAATCACTCACTCTCACGTTTGCAAAGTAAGAACCGCTCATCCTTAGATTTTTGCGTGCTCTGCGTGAATTCACGCTACTCAAAGACAAGCTTTCATCCGTTCTTGCCAGATAGCTGATGCCTGCATGATGTCACCTTCTTGCAGGTGTTGGTTGTTCGACAAGATCTGAAGATGGGTGGTGGCAAGATCGCAGCGCAGTGCTCACGTGAGAGCTTCCCTTTCTTCTTTTTCAAGTATCAAGACTCGCGCGTCCGTTTTGTCGGACGGGCAAACTTCGAGTTCTACTTGCATCTCTGTGAAGCCAGTCTGCAGGCCGCGCAAGCGCCTCAGCTTCCATGTTCAGAGTACCATCAGGAGGCGAGCCGCGCGCGACGCATGTCACACACGCAGGCATGCGGCCGCAGACTGAATCAGATAGGGCCCAAAATGAATTTCGGGTTTGCCCATTCAAACCCCTTCCAAACTAGGTGCGCCAGTCTACAAAGAGTGGCGCAAGTGAGGACAGCCAAGAAGAGCAAGGGCGTCAGCGATGCCTCTTTTCAAATTCATTCCGAAACGGATCTGCACAAGCTGAAGGAGTTTCTACTTTAAGCTTGCATGTGCAGGTCATAACCTGCCAGGTGGCGCAGCTTGATTCGGTCTCAGGTCAAGTCTAGACATTTCACCGCTTACTCGTTGCGTGATGCCACCGCAGACGCGGCCGTCGGTACGTACCACGACCTCCAGCGGCAGAACCGGGCGCTTCTCAGCAAGTGGGAGGCCTGCGGACAGCCCAAAATCGTCGTGCTCTGTAAAGACATGCGGGAAATGTGAGCGCGTGCACTTTTACATCGTTCTGGGATGTTAGATTCTTCCCCTTGTTTCATGTCTTCTTTTCTGAACTTCTTACTCGCCAGCAATCGTCGTCTCCGTGCGCTTTACCCTTGAGTTTTCTGTCTAGTTCGGATTTCCTGCGTTCTGTTTCTGTATTTCTTTCCCCTCCTTCCGCAGGTCGTAGCGAACTGATGTTCGTTCAAGTCTCGCTTCTGTGCCAGGTCGAAAAGCTGCCGTCTCTGCTGAATGGTTCTTGTTACCTGGCGGCTCAGGGCCATTGTACGCTACCAGAAACGTTTAAGCGTGGCCGAAAAACACGTCATCCTTTCAAACAACTCCCTCAACTCGCTTCCTTTTCTGATTTTGGCTGCAATTGTTCAGGACAGGCATTCCTCCGAACATGAAAGCTTCCGCCCATCAGCCGTTCCGCTCGAAAGCGGCCAGCAGACGGAAAAGAATCTGGCCTTGCATTCGAACCTGCCCCCTCTCCTAAGACCACCCCAGCTTCGATACCAAAACCCTGGATCAGTGCTTTTAACTCAACCTGTCTGGTTTTAAGTCGCGGCTTTCCGTTCCGTCCGCTGAGATCATTCCGCTTTCCGTTCCGTTAGGGGCCAACTTGAAGGGAAGGCCTCCCGGGCGGGCCTGCCGACGCACGTCATCACGGACGCAGGGCGGACGCAAGTGGCGGCCGGATCCAAAACCGTCCTGGCTGTGGGGCCAGGTGAGTGCCACGTGTTGCTACCTGATTGGTCTAGAACACATCGGACGAACATGGTTAGTGAGCCGATTGAGCGCCGGTTCGTAGGTGTAAATTCAAGTCGTTGACGCAATTGGATACTGAGCACGTGCATAGAACGACAGGGAATGAATGAAGGAAGTGTACTCATACACAATCCCAATAATCGTCTTGCATTTGTTCCGACAATCTACGAGTCTTCAGTAGCATACCACATGGCTCAGGATGACTCGAAAAACATTTCCTCTCCTGTGGGCAGTCCGTCTGTTTCTCTCGGTTTTTCCAGAGACCGCTTCTCCTTTGAGGCCGCAAATGCTCTGTCTAACTCCAGTTCTCCGCCTGGAAGTCGACGCTTTGTTGATTGCTCTTGCAGGGCCGAAGTCGGTGGTTGACGCCGTCACGGGGCATCTCAAGCTGATGTCATGACACTAGTGGCAGTTTGACTCGGTCTAGTACCTGATCAGTCACAGTACCAATCAGATGACAGGGCAAATTTACAAAGCTGTCGCTCAACAGGGGCACCGGGTTCAGATTCCTTCTGGCGGCACCTCTTCAAATCCCGGAATCTGCTTAATTCGATGGCAGGCAGCTATCGCTGACATGAGATTCTAACAGAGTCGCTGCGGGCCTTGTTGCGTGAGCTACTTAACTGCACTTGCAATAGTGATCTGCTCGCGCAGTCTCGGACGCCCTAGCCATGCCTTACTTAGCTGACCAACAAAAGTGTTGAACCGTGCCGGCCGGACACCGCGCCTGACTTGCTTTTCATCGGCACGTGTAGCCCTTGCATGCGCCGCATGCCTCTGAGCTAGTTAATAAAAGATGGATATGTCCTCGCTTTCAAAGAGCTACTCCCTTGATCCGACTAGGCCCGTGCGCTGCTGCCACATGATCGACGTCTCGAGCTCCAGGAAAGCTTTGATGATATAAACGAGAACGATGTGGCTGTGCACATGTGACGAGCCTGTTTATAAACATATTGAAAGCTCCTATCCTGCCGCGCCCTACTTTGTAGGACCGCGGCAGTTCTTTCTGACGCATGCGCTTCGTTCAGCTCCGTTGGCAAAGTGAACATGCACGTGGCACTGCCGGGCGCGCGCGTACAATTAACGAACTTCTGTAAATCATGCTGCAAGTGGCTGTTATAGGACTTCGATCGGCGCTTTGATCATGAACATGAGGATTTGATTGGAGTGTGCGATCGAGTGCTTCAAGCAATATGCGCTCTTATAATCAATGGTCGACAAGCGACTGTTCATCATCAGTGTCTTTTAGACACTTCGAGCTTTCCCTGTCATATCGAGTGCACCGGCCGGACACAACACCTGCACTAACGGGTTATCTTATCATCTGAACCACCATCTATCCGACGTCCGGCCAACGTAGCGTGTACTTCTTGGAACGCAGTGTAGTGCCTTAACTTGCAGCCCTTTATCGTGCCAATAACTGACTGCCTAGCATGCCATCTCCCCGCTAGGGTGGCAGGCCCCCTGAATATACAAACCCTTTTTAGCAGAGACGAGTAGAAAATAGTACAAAAGGAAGCGACTTGGGCCAGCTAGTAGATCGGCCCTCCTTAGCAAGCTAACGCGACATCCCCGGGGACCCATACTCGTATCATTCACTTTAATACGCGCACCGTATAAGCTCAATGGGGTTCCAATTGGGCGTTTGAAAGAATGTATACTGGGAACTTTACAATCGCTCACAGCAAAGCGCGCCGGCGTTCTGCTGCCTGTGATGAAGGGCTATCCTGCAAGGTACGACAGTCGTTGACGTCGAGATTCCTTTTCATGACCTGACAATAACACTTGCATTGACAGACCGATGTTTGTCAATGAATCTGCAGCAGATTCGAAAAGAAGTCGAGGGCGTGTTGTAAAAGCTCACATCGGGATTCATGAGCCCGTTCGAGCACTCGAAATTAGAGCAAACAGCCCACAGCTACGGAGACGTGACTGATAGGTGACGTAGCAGCCGGCAAGGAGACTGTCATGAAATGATGACTGAACAGTCTCAGATATGTTCCCGCCGCTGCTTACCAGCTGATTTGCTGCTGCTTCTGCGAACGCCCTTTTCCGTTCAGGTGCCGTTTGGCGGAGTTCCGTTGAGGACCTCGACGACTTTGTCGGGGGCGGTGCTGCCGAGGATAGTTACCAGCTGGCTGGCGGTCCGCTCCGCCGCTTTCCGCCGCCGAGACTCGTCCGCTAGCTTCCTGCAAGATGAGCGGAATGAGGGGATGAGAGTGGCTTGTAATTACGACTGATAGTACTTGTCAGGACAGGAATGCGGCGCAACTGGAGTTCAAGCGTCGGCCTTGTGCGCGGGACCTCCGGCACTGCCACGAGCTGCCGGCAAATGCCTTGTTTTAGGCTGACGATTTGAAGCCTTTATTGATAAGGAACCATTACTCCTCAGAAACCTGATGGGTCGGAATCCCGACGAAGTTGCTGCTTACCAGGTCATGGCGTCGGCCTCGGAGCGCGTGACCTCTAGCCGCGCCATGATCTTCGGCTTGTCGAAACTTTCGGGATTAATGGATTCTTTCAAGGTGTCGAGCTCGTGCACAACGAGTGCTCCAGGTTTTTGCACTCTTTTTGTTGATTCACGGGGTCGAGAATGTTAACCCACCGGTCTGAAAGCTGACCCACCAGTGCTGAAATAGTAACCCACTAGGTCTGAAACGGTTACCCACGAGGTCTCAGATGGAGACCCACCAGGTCTGAAGAGTCAACCCACCAAATCCGAACTGGTAACCCACCAGGTCTGGCAAGGTAACCCAGCTCTGAGCGTTAATCTACCAGGTCTGCTATGTTAACCCACCAGGTCATGGCGTCCGCCTCGGAGCGCGTGACCTCCAGCCGCGCCGCGTACTGCCGCGCCACGTTCTCCCGCAGCGCGCTCATCAGCTCCAGCTCCGCCACCTGCGCGCGCAGCCGCTCTAGTTCGCCGTCGTCCGCTGACGTGGCCCTGACGTCTCCCGCCCGCGAGCCGCCCTCCGCTGACGCCATCCTGCCGTCAGCCCGCGTCAGGGGGTGAACGCTCCGCTCTTTCGCGCTGCCGCCGACGTGCAGCGCGAGTCTCCTGATCCTTGCGGCCGCCGGCACGTCATCCAGTGACGTCACACGACGCAGCCCGAAGAGGAAGCTCCCGTCCGACTCGGGGATCAGGTCGCGCCGCTCGGTGCGGGGGGGTATGGAAAGGCTGGACAGCCGGGGGGGTGTTTCGATGCTCGGTTGCTTGGCGAGGATCGACTTCGGTGACCCGTTTTGGCTTCTCTTGGGGGAACCCCCCGAGCGCGGCGACCCCCCCAGATTGGACAAGGGGGAATTTGAGGAGGCAACTCGCCGGAGACCTCCCCGTGTGGAAGTGACAGTTCTGCCCCGGGGGGTGCCCCCGGAGCTGGTGGACAGGGGGCTGTCGGGGATTGCCACGTGGTCGCTTTCAGTATCCCGGTTGCCGGAGGAGTCGGAGCTTGTGGTATGGCTGAGCGGGGGGCCGGGACTCGGGAGACTGCACGAGAGAGCTCATCTTAAAGTTCTTCTTTCAATGATAAAAAGCCGCGTAACAAATTTGACGAATTTTGTGGTTTTCTGATTGAAAGCATCTGCCGTTCGCATCATGCGTGCCAGTCTAAGATCGTTTGCCAGAGTGTTTGGCTGAAAACTGGATTTTCTTTATACGATAAGGCTCATTTTAATGCGAGAACTGTGTTGTAGAAGGGGCCTTTTGGATGTCATAACCTTTTCCTATCATGCACTCCTGATTGGAAATTCGCGGTCGCAGTCACTCGCTGCACATGGTTTTCGAAAAGCACCAACGTGAAAATGTGAAGGGCCGAATTCGGCTCAGTTCGTCAGTGCCAGTGTCCCAAAACGGTGTTCCCATTCCAAGAACGCTGAAGAGAGACGTCAAATTCCAAGTTCCTTCAGGGGAGACGCTCTTTTTCCAAGCTCCTTCAGGGGAGACTCTCAAGAGAGCGCATTCTTAAAGCGAACGCGCATCCAGAACTTTCACTTCAATTTTCGAGTCGAGAATAGCTCAAAGAGATCTTACGACTGGCGCTCACTCTGGGATGCTCTCAAAGAGCGCATTCTCGATCGCACGCGCGGCCGCCGCGGACATGTGGCGCTTGGACCCGCTTTTGCCGTCCGAATTGTACGAGCTGCGCGAGACGAGGTGCCCCGCCTTGTCCACAAGAAACACCGCGCACTTGGCCTCGCGCACTATGCCCTCCGAGAGACCCTCCTTGCGGAATAGACTGCAGAGAAAGCGCGACAATCAGCAACTTCTCTTGGGCTTTCATCCGCTCGCTTATCTCTGCTGTTCGCTTTTGCTATTGCGCCCTTAACCTCGCGCACTGTGCCATCCGAGAGACCCTCCTTGCGAAACAGAGTGCAGAGAAAGCGGCTGAAGGTCGGTAAATTTTTGCTCTTCTTTCCTTTCAAGCTCGCTCTTTCCTTTGTTGTTCAAGTTGGATGCTTTTCCACTCCTCTGTTGTTTGTCTTTTCTACCCGCACTTGGCCTCGCGCACTGTGCCCTCTGACAAGCTATCCTTGCAGAACAAACTGGAGAGAGCGCGACAACAGTTCATACCTCATCTAGTTTCCGTTTAAGTCTTGCACGATCGAGCTCTTCTCTTTGTTCGTTTCCAGAAGGCACCTTCTTGTACTCCGCAATCGAGCTCGAGAAGCCTCTAAACAAAGGCTTCGGCTGTTAGGCATTCCGTCTGCTTTTTCGTCAGAGGAGCGTTGAAAGACCCGGCTCTTGCTCTAACTGCGTCTTGTCGCTGCTCTGTGCGCACACGAACCCCCGGCTACTTTACCCCCAGCGAAAGCAGCGCAACAAAGTCGGCACATATTTGGATAGACGCGCTTACCGATCTTCGACGATAGAATGATTTTACGAAGAAGCAGTGCACAGAGACAGGTTAAGTGTCTGCACCACATGCTGCTCTTCGAGCCTAAAGTCATGTTTGAGAAAGGGTTGACACTGACCCCAAGCGGCGGCCCTGCCTTCCTGAGCCCATTATCAGGTGGGTCGCCCCGAAGTCTTCCACTTTCTGAAGGATTGCTTTGCGCCGCTCCGCCCATGCCACCTCGGTCCGCGCCGTGATCTGCAGAACGGAAATTGTACCAACTATCAGTCTACACGTCACAAGTTCATCAATTGCTGCCAACATGCAGCAATGAGCTAGTGTTCACTGCTACAAAACTTCGCATCGAGCGGAAAAGGCGCCGCTTTCTGAAAGCTTCTGCAGGAGGCTGACTTGAGGCAGACGTCGAACCTGGTGCATGGTTGGCCGAAGCTGAGAATCTTAGCGGGAATATCGGAATGTCTTAGGCATGTGATAGCACTTGTCTTTGCTGAGATACGATATCTCTTTCGGATGCTTCGTGAACCCCTTTTCTCAATTTGAAGCGTTGTTCTGGCAATTGTAACTCCCAAAAAGCGTCGACTAGCAGTATCCACAACGATTCCTACGAAGCAATCTTTTGACGTGCTCCATTACTCGTGTCGTCGTTTTCAAAATATTCTTTTCTAGCAAGAGGCTACGTTTTTATCGGATTCATAAGGCTGATATAAGATGTGCAAAAACTGTTCAGCTGGCAGGGTAATCAAAAACGTACAGCAACCTCAAGCATGCGTTTTGCAAAGCGATCTGTGATGAGCTGGGAAGTTAGGGGTAAGCAATAGAACCCTGCGTAAAATAGGAGGTCAAGATTCTCACACCAAATAATACTTGCTTTCAGGGGTCAGCTTACCAGATGCTTCTCGCAGAAGGAAGCGTGCACGTTGACCATCTTGGTCGCCTTCTCAGTTGCGTCGAAGCGGAGGCTCTTCTTGACGTTTGGCAAGGCCCTGTGAAACGGAATCGCTTTTGCTGCAACAGAAAGAAGAGAAGCTGCAATCACCTTTTTGACAGCGCTGTGAGCAGAAAGGTTAAGGGGGATGTAGAGCGTCCCACCTTGTCTGACCAGTAAGGACCGCCCCACATCTCATGTAGCTCTCTGACGTGCTACATTTCAGTTGTTTTAAGTTTCACATCTGACAAAGTCCAGAATACCTGCCCCCATCCCCAAGTGGTTCGAAGAATGCTAGAGAACCTGAATCCAGTACACAAAGACCAAAGTACAGAACATTGCCATGTGAGAAATTGAGCTCTGCAGTATTGGAAAGGAACACATATGCAAACAGCGCTTCCAGAAAGACTGGACTTGAAAGTCGTGCTCAATCACCGGTACGAAGCATCCAACGGACTTGTTATAAGGACCACACTCATGAAAGATCACATGATGTGAAACTCAGAGGTGCTCTAGATGAGCAAAAGGTACAACATAGTTTCAGGGTGTTAGATTCTTGGTATGGACACATAAGCTGCTGATCAGGTGTGCCCTGGGTTTGAGACTTGCTTCAGCTTCCGGGATCAGAGATTATTCTGGGAAAAGTAGTCAGATAGCTAAGTAGCCACAGTTTATTCTCGACTCTTCATACGGCAGAATGCTACCGTGTTGGCAGGGCTGAAGCATTGAGCACGATTTTGTGCCTTTTCAAAACATTCAGCAAGCAACAATGAAGAGCAAAAAAGCCTCAGAAGTGCCACACTTTCTGCACTTCCACAACTACCTGGTGCACTCTACTTTTGAGAACTCGGAAAGTTCTCGGGAACAAGCTTTGGCGTTGTCAATGCCCTTGATTCGGAATGGTACCTTGTCCTTCTGATCAAGCTGCCTTGGCAAGGTTATCGGAGGCGATCTCCACCGAACAAGCTGAAAAACAAGCTCTTCTAGAAGCGGGGTGGTGGCTTTCTGCTTACCTGGCGTTTTGACCTCCTCAAGAGCCTTGATCGCATGAAAGATGAGCACTTCATCCTCAGGTCTGATCAAGCTGCGGGCCGCCCATACGACTGCCCCCCGGCTCTGTGGTGATTCATCCACAGCCAAAAGAACACGCTTACACTCCGCATATTCTGAACATCCAGTGCTTTGTTCCATCACGGATCCGTTGAAAATAACTTCTTCTGAAGCAGTTAAATGCTCAATTTCCAAAGTGCAAAGGTGATGAGCGGTGACGACTTGGATTTACAGTGTGCCTGCAGAGGGAAGAGACTGTGTGGTCAGGAAGGAAGGAGCTTTGAAAGGCAAGTGCTTACAACTCGCCGAATGCCAAGCACCACTTTTAGAACTTTCCAATGTCTGCTGCCACCAAAAGATGAAAGACCACCATACCTTCTGGAATGTCAGAGGTCGCCTTTCTGAGTGTTTATGTTGGGAATTAAGCAACTCATCTCTTAAGCACAACCTCAGGAAGGTGGTGTTCAAACAACAGAGGTCTCCGCTGTGGACTTGTCAGAAGCATTTGATGGTTGCTAGTGCATTCCTTGGCCATTTTGGGAGCTAGAGGAGACCAGCAGACATTGCCATCACGAACGGTGCAAGCAACTACCTCAACTCTGGCTGCAATAATGAGCTCAGAAGCAACAACAATGTCAGTGGCAGGAGAGGAGTCTTACGGAATTACGTTGGTTTGAGGAAAAAAGGGATTCCTCTGGACAAGTATGGTAAAGCCGGCTGATCAGACTGCCTCAACAACTCCCCATCATATGGTTAACCTTCTCTTACCGCATCGCACTGTCCACGAGAAAGGACTCTGGAATCCTACTCGGCTATCAAACATGGTGGTGAATGTAGGTGGCAATCTGACCACAATTAGTTCTGATCTGAAGTGAAGCAACCTCAGCATTGTTGAGGTGATGCACTGGCAAGACAGGGTAAAATTGGGCACTCCAATTGCCCACCTCGTTTTGGAGAAGCAGGTAGCTGCTGTAGCGGTCAGACTTCGACACACTTTCGCAGATGCACCTAGGTTTTGAACCCTCCACACCAGAGACTTTCGACGCTCTGTTGTCGCATTGACCCTTAATCTGTAGACTCTTTGTAGGGATTTTTGGTCACACAATGCAAGCCACACCTGTCGACAGCTGCTCTTCTGCTGTGGTGATAGGTTGAGTCCCCAACCTTGTTGATCAAAGGCAGAGATTTTAGAAGTTGGTGTGCATTGCGATCTCCCCAAACTCCATCGACTCTCGAGCTGCCCTAATATCCAGCTTAGCTAGTCCGAGCTAGCTACACAAGTGATATGCATCCATTTCGCTTCTAAGGTTCATTCCTCTTTCAAGTTTCAGCTCCATAGACCCCAAATGATGATGGCCATTATTGTTCAAACGGAAGCAGCTCCGGAGACCTATACGTGGCCCTTGTATAAGGAATGTGACTGCCGACATGGCTGGCGCCCTTACTATCTGCGCATCACAGGACGTCACACACTCATGCCTAGGATCTGCGGACGAAATCCAGCCCAAAGCCCTGGCAAAACAAGAGAATCTTTCTCGCCAAATCTACTATTTTCTCGCATAAATGCGAAGGCTTTGACAACATGCAGCGGTCCGAGTCGTCCTGAAATGGTGCCTCAGAATACGATGAACGGCTTTGGTTATACTGATTCATGAACAAAGATAGCGCGCTTGCTGTGAACCGCTCCACATCCGAAATGTGGGCCGCATGCACGCAGCTGAGGACAGATTGCTACTTGAACCGGCCGAGATTCCAGACCTTGAGTGGGGCCCTTTCGGCATCGCATCGGGGATCGGATTCTCTCCGCTCAAGGTGTTCTGCTGGGGAGGTGTTCTGCGCGGCTGTCATCTGCCGACTAGCTTCCCTTCTTTCTTTCGCAGCCGAGGCCCGATTGACGTTGAGCTTGAAAAGTTCCTTTCCACGAACGCCGATTGACGTTGGCGCGCGGTGTGAACTGGCATTTTAAACGGTTTGCAACTCTGTTGTACCTTGTTTTATGACTGGAGGGAGCCAATTAACACGCTTGGGTAAGGGTGTACACTGTACGTATCTAGCTAGGTCACATGTCCTGAGTCCTGATTTATTTTGCTCCTTAAAACCGTACGTTGGTACGAGTCATGACGTACCTACTCCCCACGCTACCGAGATCCTACTCCGAATCTGCCGAAGCTTCCCGGAAGCACTCACCGACCTCTGCATAACCCCAAGGCCCTTAAAATCCACGTGCCCGGTCGATCTACTCCTGATTCCGAACCTCGTGATTCGTAGATCAATTGTCCCCCGGTCACAATGTGTTAGGTTTGCGAATTTACCTTGGGCCCGGTAGATCAAGACCGGGGTTGCTAAACATGTGTGTGCATTATTGATTTCCGCAATCAGAGGATCGCGTCCATAATTGTGGAGCGGCGACTCGACACCTGTCAGAGGCCAAGCTTCTCACGTGCCAAATGTCGCGGCATGACCTGAGCCGTACGAGCTCCGTACGGCCAAGGTTGTTTGCCTGAATTCCGAGATCCATTCCTCAGATCCATGATTACAGGCGATCGGCGCCGCTTGTCATGGCAGCATCGCCTCCTAGTGATCTAGTCGCACGTTGGTGTGGGTAACTCAAGACAAGTCCTACTACTTTGTCCTGCTACTTTGTCCTGACTCTGAGCTCGCTCCTAAGAATCTAGGCTCGCTTCCCTTAATAGGAATGAAAGACATTTCTGTAGAAGTAGTCAGCTGGCCAGGGGACCTCAAAAGGTACCGTCCCCTTCGGATCTCATTCCTAAAAGGGCCACCTAGATACGTGAAACGTAGGTTCAAAAAAGTCGTCCCAGTGGGTCGTTGCAGATTTTAACGAGTGTGACGTGTGCTCTTCGGGTTGCGAGCTCGCAAGGGGTGGAAGCGTGAAGTCAAATCGGGGCGTCGCTGCAACCTTGGCGGGCTAACGCCTTCGGTCTGGAGCGGTAGATCCTCTGTTTGAAAGTGATGGAAGAGGTGGCCTGAGCGATCAAGCTGATCGCCTGTCAGTTCGGTCGCTAAACTTGTCTCTCAAATTGGACCAATGAGCATTACTTTGCAGTAGCTCAGCATTGCGTATTAGCGGACTGTCACCAGCTTCAGAGGGACCTAGTGTATGGAATGCACCGATTTTGGAATGAAACACCAAGCACTTGGATCCTCAGCTGGTGATTGAGCAGAAAGTCTTTGACTGATCAAGTTCAAGCTAATTCGACGTCACATTTCTCGCTTGGGCACAAAGACGCAACTTGGTGTGACGTCGCACTCCAAGGTTATAAAAACGAATATGGCGAGCATGACTGAGTTGGACCAGCTGGGCGCGGCATTGAATGCAACGCTTCAGCACGAAGCGTCTGTCTCCGCCCACACAGACGCTGCCATCTGGCGGCTGCAGGCGGCCACCATTGTGTTCTTCATGCAGGTAAACCGCACAAACAGGTTGATTGTCCAGAAATCTGTTGTTTGGGAATGCTCTGCGGGCTGGTCATGGTGTCCTTGCTTGCACCATCTTATGATATTTTGAGTTTAAGCAGCGACTGTGAGTGACTTGTCTGAGTGACTTTGCTGACTTTGACGCCCAGCGGCCCACATTCTCGCTGAGGTTCACATAAGGTGGCTGCAATTGGCACATCCCCCGAGAGCTGTGCTTTTGACTGATATTGGACAGCTGTCAGCAACGCGTTGATGAGTTGGGTGTCATTGTGTGAGGGGTCAAGCTGGTCTGTGCCTTTGTGCACTGCACAAACTGTTGAGTCAGACCTCGGGCTGAGGCCAGTAGCTGGAAGCCCAGAGAAAGTGCATTTGGGTACCTTCAGAAAAACCAGCACATATATATCTCTTGAGGAAGTTCTGAATAAAAGGGCACACCTTCAACCAATCGAGGTGGTACGGCAAGAGATTGCCGTAGGAGAATCCTACGTCGACATTGTTGTGACTAAATACCCATGTTGGTGAGAGAAAGCTATAATCAAACCACTCCAGAAAAGAAGGAGCCACCAAGAAAAGCAGTAAAGTGTAAGTCACATAATTACCTCAAGAGAAAGCTTGCGCCTCCCTAATGTCAGCATTTCATCTAGTTGTCTGCCAAGGTGGGGGCTTGACAAGCTAAGCACGTGCACTAACTGCTGACAGGTGTCAGCTTTGTGGCCGCCTCTTCAATAATAAATCTCTCTCTTCTGGTTTAGGGTAATCGAGAAGCTTGGCGTTTCAGCTTCAAAGCAGAGGTACTCCAGTATCACTACAATCAGATAGAGGACTTTTAAAACTGTCACGACTGCCCCATTTTTTCCTGACGCTTAGCATTTAGCAAATTTTGGTTCTGGTGCGTGCAGGTGGGATTTGCCCTGGTTGAAGCTGGATCAGTCAGGGCAAAGAACACACAGAACATCATGGTAAGCGAGCTCCAAGGTTTCTCCACATCTCCATAAACTGGCAAATTGCAGCCTCTTGCAAAGTGAATCTTATCACTTTGCTTGGTCATTCTTGTATCACTCCAGGAAGTGCGATGATGATTGTCAGGACGCAAATTTGCGAGTGTCACTTTGCAATGAAGAGTTCGTACGCCCAACCACGGCTGCCCCTTCACATGAAGAAAACGAACTGTTCAAAATTTTGCCCCTCTTTGTGAGAATGGAAGGATTCTGCCATACGGGCAACGCTTGCTTGCACTAAAAGCCGCTTGCACTAAGACACCAGCTCTCGGGCACCAAACTTCAAGCCCTGATCAAAGAAATCGTGCGCTCCGTGCCCGCACCCACCCTACCCCCAATCTAATTTCACCCGTCTTTCGGGTGCTTATCTTAGTGCAAGCTGCTCTTTGTGCAAGCTAGCATTGCCGGACTGATTCTGCCCAATCTACCGAGCGTTTGCTAATAGTTGGAACACCTACGTAGACGCCCACTTGTTTGCTTCCTAAGGGTCTAAGGCTTTCAATCAGTGCTCTGTACGTCACAAACCTTCCTCTTGCTAGCGATTTGAGACGCTATGCTCGCAAACCGCACCTTGACACTTTCACCCAGACATGCCATTGCACGAACACTGCAACTCCGCTTGCAGGTCAAAAATGTGATGGACGCATGTTTCTGTGCGGCCGCTTTTTGGACCTTTGGTTGGGCCCTTGGCTTTGGCGAGGGTTCGTCGGTCATCGGGTGGCGAAACGAGTCGCAATCGATTGCCTTGTTCAACGAAGGCAATCAGGTAGGTTGCTCCCCCTCTCAGTATTTCTGCTCGTTGCCTCTTCTGCACTACGTGCAGAGCTTGGTTCTTTCAACTCATGGCTGTTCTTTGCAAGATTCAGCAATTACGAAGACCCATACGTGAGTCGTTTGAGCGATCACCGTTGTCTGACTCCCGCAGAAAGCTGTAGCAGCTACCTCTTCCAAGTGTGATTCTTTTCTCAGTAAACTCGCTGCCGTTTTGGGCGATTCGCGAGTCTCTTCAGGGATCACCGGCGGCTTCCATGTCAGGTCTTCTTCGCACAATTGTCTGCCGCAATGCGGGTCATCAAACTAAGATGGAAAGCTAAGCTCGTCTTGACTTCACAGTATCGTAAGATCACAAAGCTCTAATACTTTCCCCTCTCCAGGTCAACTTCTTCTTTCCAGTCTACTTGAGCCGCGACCTCGGTTACCATAACCAGATCCACAAACCCTCCTCTTTTGAGATTCTAAGATGACAAAGCGAAGCCCTCAAACCTCAAGTTTCTCTCCAGGTCAACTTCTTCTTCCAGTACACCTTCGCCGCGACGTCGCTTACCATAACCAGATCCACAAACCCTCCTCTTTTCAGATTCTAAGATGACGAATCTTAGCATCAAATTCTCAACTTTCCTCTCCCAGGTCAACTTCTTCTTCCAGTACACCTTCGCCGCGACCTCGGTTACCATAACCTCGGGAGCGGTCGCCGAGCGGTTTCGCCTCAAAGCGTACCTTCTGTACGTGGTCGTACACAGCGGGTTCATGTACCCAATGATTGCGCACTTCATCTGGGCAGGCACAGGGTTAATGGGCGCGCGGGTTAGGGAAACCGCATTCCTGGGCACGGATGGCGTCCTCGACAACGCCGGTTCGCTAGTCGTACATGTTACTGGTAAGGGACACGTGTCGACGTTAATCTGTGGGACGTTTGATGCAGCTTGCTGGCTGGATCCAACGTAAGGCGAAAAGAAGTAACTCAAGGCAGACGTATGCAGACGAGCTTCTTGGATAGCCGGCCGTTGAGATTCCTGTGGAAGTGCGTTGAAGTAACTGTCACCTGCACCGGAGTCAGAGCCAAATGGTGCCCATAACGGCTCAAACACAACGTCTTAACGACGACGAAGCCAAAGCTGGCTGTCGAACGCCCTCCAAGTTCTTTCTCACAAGGAAGCGAACGCTTCGTGTACTCTACAAATCAACTCGTTTCAATGAAAATGAAGCATCCCACAGTTCTACCTACCTCCTCACGCTGAAGCTCTCTCCGATGCCGGCCAGGTGGCGTCGCCTCATTGGTCGCCGCATGGATGGTCGGCCCCCGCATCGGGCGGTATGACATCGAGGGCCGGCCCGTTCCATTCAAGCCCAACTCCGTTTCCTTCGTGGCCGCCGGAACGCTCATCTTGTGGGCCGGATTCTACGGCTTCAACGCAGGGAGCGTAGATCTTGGGTCCCTCGACATCATTGTAAGCTATCGCCACTTGCGGCCGAGTCTGCTGAAGACCAGCCGGTTGTTGAAACTTAGGTTTCCGAACCTATCTACGTTCAACCGACTCACAGAGCTTAAGATCTGCGAGTCGGCTCCAGGCTTGCATCGAATCCAAGTAGGGTTTCTGTTCGAAAGGAATTTGCGGATCCCTGAGAATCCTGCTCAAACGCTGGCTCTTGGTTCAAGCGCACTCAAGGAAAACCACGACTTCGCTCTGAAGCACGCAATCAGACGCTCAAGGGTTCTCTACCTTTCACAAAATTGTCCTCGTCCCTGCCGAGACTTGCGACCGCCTCTCCGGGCAATTCTTTAATGAACGACAGCTTTTCAAATTCCTATAAAGTCATCCTTCAATCTGATCGTCCGTCTTCCCCGAGGCTTTGTCCGACTCATTTGCTCACAGACTGCGCAACATCTTTGCAACATGTTTGCAACATATATTTTCAGGGGCTTCTTATGCTACTCGCTGAACAGCCAGCATGACCCAACATTCCGGAGGGCGGTTCCTGTTCGCTCTTAGGTCTCTCTTCGTCCACAAGCTGGCAGAGGTTTTGCTTCTCTTCCCCCCTAGTTTGCTGTCAAAATCTCAGAGTATCACCGTTACGATCGATATGTTTCCTTTCCTTCCCCTTCATCTACGCTCCGCGTCTTGTCAGCATTCTGCTTATGGTCCCACCTCCCTCCTCATTTGTGTCATCATTTCGGCTCCTTTTCGTACGCATTTTGTCTCGTCCTTACGTACTCTTGAAAAGAAGCTGCAGCTGCCTCCGAAACTCACGGAGATTGCTGACGCACTAACGCCTCTATGCTGACGTAAGCTCGCGCGCATCCCCCCCAGGTGTGGTACGAACAGCTCGCGCGCGTCTGCTCCAACACCACGCTCTGCGCCGCTTTCGCCGGCTGCACCGCTTACTTCATGACGACGCGGCGAGGGGGATCCCCCCCCGACCATCTCTTCAACGCCGTTCTGGGGGGGTGCGTGGCGGCCTGCGCTACTAGCTCCGTGACTGACAGCTGGGCGGCGTGCGTGATTGGAATGGTGGCCGGGGCGATCTACCTGGGGGGCGTCCGCCTCATGGTTCGTTTTTCAAATCTTAACCCGGATTTCGGTCCGCTTTTGTGTGTTTTGGCACTTTTTAGGGTTAGGGTTATGCTCTTATCTTGCCTCAACACCTCCTTGACTCTTCTTTGATATTTCCTCAAGTTGATTGGGATGGTGGCTGGGGCGATCTACCGAAGGGGCGTCCGCCGTATGGTTTGTGGTCTGATTTTGACGTCATTCTTAATCCCGGTTTGGATCCGGTTTATTTTCCTTATTGCCGCCCTCAAACGGATCCGCCTCTTAATTTGCCTCGACACGTCCTCGACTCTTCCTTGAAACTTCCTTCAATTGAGCGGGATGGTGAATCGGCGATCTACCTGCGGGGAGTGCGCCTTATGGTTCGTACTCCGCTTTCTTCGTCGGCTTTCAGCAAGTTTCGGTAGGATTCTGTTTGCTTTTGTCTTCGCAACACGAACCACGTAGTCTGTTTATCAAGGGGGCCTCTTAGGTAAGCACGTATCCAAAAAGCTTTTCCAAGCTTCAACGGTTCGAGTGGAAAGAAGCGCCCTCGAGTGACCTGCGCGCTTTGAAACAGGAACTGGCAGAGGCGAGTTGACAAGCATTGCTAAGACGTTGCTCCTAAGTGGAGGGGCTTCAGCAGTTTTTGCGATGTAGATAATCCATTTTGCTTTGTCCAGCTCCGAGGACACGCTTGGAAGAGCCGTTCTGGCGCTCAACGAGACACAAAAGGGTACTCCAAGAATCAAAGCTGTCGTTATGTACGCTTCTCGGCGACTTCAAAGCTGCACACTTCGCGTCATGGTCGCCTTCTGACCGATGTAGTGGTCGGGGTTGAGGCGACCGACAAGGTGTGGCTCAGGCTCCAAGTTCGCCCAGCTTTCCGGTTCCGTTGCCCATTCTAGGATTTTCAAAGCAAGCAGAAAATGGTCACATGCGTCTGACACCGATATCTCAGCACTTGTGGTCTGCTTCACGGGCCTCGCCTTTGATCGACACGTGTCAAATGCTCGTGCAGGCATTCCTGGAGATCGACGATCCAGTGCACTCCGTCGCCGTGCATCTGGCGTGCGGCACCTGGGGCGGACTTTCCGCCGGACTCTTCGCCACAGCGGACGGAATCCGGTCGACCTACGGCATCGAAAACCCGCGCGACGTGGGCGTTTTCTACGGGGGCAGCGGGCACTTACTGGGCGTACAAATCCTGGCGCTTTTATTGGTATACGCGTGGGTTGGCGCCATAACCCTGACGCTGTTCGGGACACTCAGGTATTTTGGGCGGCTGAGAGTGCCGAGGCACGAAGAAGAGGTCAGTAGCTCGATCTAGTTGTTCTCTTTGTGTGGTCTCAGGTCATTGTCCTAAAGAATGACAGGAAAAGAAGGAAGCTGAGGCAGAGACGGTCTTTCCCGTCGTGCTGTTGCCACTTGTCCTGCAGCTTACCGAAATAGATGTTGTTGTGGTTAACCTTCTTTTGAGCTTCTTAACCATGACGTAGAACCCTTGTTGAATCACGCAACGTCAAGACCAATCTGGTACGGCATCAACCTCTTTCGTTAAAGAAATTTTCAGTCGAATTGGTTTTAATCTCTCGCTGCATGAAGCAGAGGATTGACCCGTCATTCACATGCTTGGTTAAAGGACTTTCTACTTTCGATCAACTCGCGTTCAATGTATCGCTGCACGGAGCAGCGAAATCGACCAATAAGAAGATTTTCAGCCCATCTTAGCAAGCTTGGTTAACGCCATTTGTGCTACTTAACCAGATTGGGCTTGACAGGCTGCACGAGGCAGCGGGACGGACCGTAGACAGAAGCTTAACCTATCTTGAACAAAATTGGTTAACGCCCTTTCTGCTCCTTAGCTAGATCGGTTTGGACGTTGCGCTCCACGGGCGGCGGAACCGACCGGTCGAGGGTGACTTAACCCATCCTTAACAAGCTTGACCAACACCGTTTCTGCTCCTTAACCAGATCGGTTTGGACGTTGCGCTCCACGGGGCGGCTGAACCGCTGGGCCAGAGCGACCGGTTGAAGGGAGTCTTCGTCAACCCGACCCCACACGTGGCGCCCGGGTTCCAGTTCTCGAGCCTGAAACGACGTATCGCGGTACGCTTTCTGTCTCTTTCATTCTTCGTTGATAATCATCCCCCCACTCCATTTTCTGCTCACCCTGAGTCTCTGCTGACTTTCCACTTCTCAGATTGGAAAGGACATAACGTGGACAGGTCTTTGGAATGCTCTCTGTCCCCGTTAAGTCGAGTGAGAAAACTGTCCATGTTGTTCTCAATCTGCTGAAAAATTGGCATACGCGGTCATGCAGATTGAGAGAAAGAATAACAAGGAAACTAAACAATCATAGTATCGCCCGGTCGCTCCTGCAGAGTGCTGTCCCGACCGACTGCGCCAGCCTGAGGCTCAAGGCCCAGCGCGACCGCGGCGGCATGTGGCAGGAGAAGCTGAAGAAGACGAGCTACGGCGACTTCAGCTTTGCGATGTACGAGGCCAACTACGTCATGGAGGACACGTCACAGGTGCGTATATCTTACTCGTTTTTGGGTTATCTGTTCGGGTTATCGTTTCGCGCATCGATTCCAGTCATCGTTTCGGGTTTTCGCTTCAGTTTCTGCGCTTTCGAGGTCCTGAAGGTTCTAGCATTCCAATACTTCTGCTTCCTGTTGGCTTGTACCGGCAGGGAAGCGCTTACGATTCTGCTTACAAAATCAGTCGGTCAAACTTCCCGAAACGAGGAGGGATCATTAAAGGCAATCTGCAAGCTCATAAGAATGTCTTGAGCCCCGCTTACAAAGTTCGCCCGTGTTCTTAAGCCCAATGACGCTCCGTTAAAGTCTGCCTTTGAGTATGATACGAGTGTTCTTTCTTGAGTTCTCCTAGGTGGAAGAAAAGCAGCGGTGTTTTATGATCGAGTGCAGTCCCTCATACCTCCTCTACTTAATACGGGCGTCGTTACCAGCCATCAGTTCTTGACAAAACTCGAGACTCCCCGTCTCGTCGTGCCAAAAGCACTTTGCAGCCTTTTCGTAGTTGTGGCAGCACAAAACGAAGTGGCACCTCACATGCCAGAGCGGGCGTTTTCAAGGCTCCTCCATTCTCGTGTAAAAGTCATAGGTAGCCGCCGTTTGGCAACAGCTATACATAAGCTGTTCCCGTGCAGGTACAAGCGAACAATAGCGTACCCCGAAAGCCCTCACATCTTTGCAGACCATATAAGCAGCGACCTTGTTTTCATATGAGCGACTTAAAAGCCATCCCCCTGCAGGTGGAAGCGAGCAATAACAGTTCCTTCTATCCAAGCCTTATAAGCGGCCGCCTTTTTCTGATAAGCGCGGTCCATAACCCGTCCCCCTGCAGGTGGAAGCGAGCAACAGCGGCGTCTTCATGGGGGTTTACGACGGTCACGGGGGCTCCGAGGCCGCGACGTTTGTGGAGGCGACCTTGTTCAGGAATTTGCAGAGGGCCATGGTCGCCGGGAACGGGGTGTCGGGGGCTGCGATTCTGCAAGCGTTTGAGGTAAGTCGGTTGAAAGGAAGTGAATACGTGTTAAAGAACACTAGCTCGTATTTATTAGCATGCCCGACGGGCGCCTTTAGAATACATTGATACGTTAAAGGCCAGTCAGGGTCCGTTGATGATTTTCCATACGCGGCATTTTGGATAAGGTCCTTCCCTCCGTTCCGCAGCACGAGCTTTCCGGATATCGTAAGGCTAAATCAGAAATGAAAGAGAAATGATTATTGCAATTCGTCTTTGTGGACCATTAGAGAACCCGTTTGCCACTCTCCTTCAAAACCGGCGTTCAGCTTTTGGCGCCTGCTTATAGCTGCAGCATATCGAGAGCACCTCGGCACAGAATTCTTTTTGATTTCACTATGGTATGTTTCTGCATAGGACTCGGCTGACCCCACCCGCTTATGGCCGCCGAGTTTCAAAAGGGCATTTTCCCACCTGAAAGATGTCGAATGCGACGTCATTCTTAGTCATCGCTTATATCACTTCTCAATCGCCCGTGGCTGCAGGATACGGAGGAGCAGTTTGCCACCCTAGTTACGGAGGAGTTTCGGCGCGACCGTACTGCTGTCATTGCTTATGAATTTGGTTATGCCTGCAGGACACGGAGGAGCAGTTCGCCACCCTAGTTACGGAGGAGTTCGAGAACGCGCCGCACCTGGCGTGCGTCGGCGCGGCCGCGGTCGTCGCGCTCGTCACCGACGGCGCGCTCTACGTGGCCAATTGCGGCGACAGCCGCGCAGTTTTAGGGGTTTTGGACGACGGCGCGCCCGTTGCGGTCCAGGTTAGCGCTTGACCAGGCTTGGTTTGCAGTTTGCTCTGAGGCTTCAGACTGGTTGTTCGACTGCGTTGGACGGCGCGCCGTAACTCTACGTCGCCGAACTGCGGCAAATGCCGCGCGGTCTTGGGAGTTTGGACGAGAGCGGACCTATCGCGGTCCACGTTAACGCTTGACGAGACTTGGGTTGGGGCTTTTTTTTAAAAGACGAGGGTCGTCGGGTTTCTAACCGATGGCGCGCTCTTCGTCGCCAACTGCGGCGACATCCGCGCGGTTTACTGGTTCCATGCGACGGCGCGCCATTGATTGCGGTCCAGGTTAGGGCGGATGCGACTACGTTTGACCTTACTCTTTATCATCCTCGGCTGAGTTTCTTTGCCTATTCATGACGTTCTATGAGTATCACGGGAGCAGACGTGCCGGGCTTCCATACAAAGCACCCGCAATGACGGCCTACGTTGGATGAGGACTTCTTGCAATGAACTACACTTAACGAAAAGTTGAATGCGCGTCAGAACGCATCATTTTGGTTCGTTACAATAGCATCTTTTGTGCTTCACGTTGGTGACGTATTTGTCCTTGCGCGCCTCTCTTAGAAGCTTGCTTGAATCAAACAGACCGATGAGACGCAGCGCTTTGTGCGTCCTGCAGTTGAGCGTGGACCACAGCGTCAAGGCTCCGGCGGAACGCGCGAAGTACCTGACGGAACACCCCGGAACGCCGGACCTCGTGATGGAAACGCCCGGCGGGCCCCGGATCAAGGGGAAGTTGCAGGTGGGTTGCCACGTCATCAGTTCAACTAACGATTAGTTCCGTTTCTAGTCGTTCCATTGCGCGCTTTCCGTTCTGAGGATCTGTTGCCGCCATGGCCATCACGACAAACCGGAAAGGAGCGAGGAGATCGTCGTCCACTTAAAGCATGAAGGTCACGTTCCCTTCGCCCCTCGTTCAGTGTCCTTTCCGAGCAGAGATATATTCTCCTGGTTTTCGCATTTCAAAAACTGCTCCCCCATTTCCCAGACCGTGAACAGGCTTGCGCGCTCCTTATTTGAAGCGGCCAAGCGCCACCGAGCCGTTTCATCAACGAACAAAGTTTCGAAGTTTTTGCGGTATCTCAAGCGGTTACGACTTCTCGCTTCGCAGGTCACGCGCGCGTTCGGCGACTGTTACATGAAGAGCCTTGCCTTCAACCGGAATCCGCTCTTCCCGCGTTTCCGCGTGCCGGGCCACTATACGCCGCCGCTCATCACCGCCGTTCCACACGTCGCGATCTATACCCTGCGTGCAAAGGTCGGCCCTTTCTCCAATTGAGCTTCGTAAAGGAAGAGTTTGTAGTGATTGACCGTTGGCGCAAAGCGATGCAACTTTCGAAGAAGCGCTCCAAAGCAAGCTAAGAGGCATGAGGACCTGTAACGTCAGCTCGCGGCCTAGTGATCACATCCGCATTATTCTCAACCCCACTTGGCCAACGGACCCTTCCGGTGGAAAAAGCTTACGGGGACGGTGAAGTGCAACCGAGAACGGCGCTATCTACAGGCACAGAACGCGTCTTTTGAGCACTGATGGGGTGTCTGATTGAGATGCACAGGGGTGTTCTCTTTGGGATCTGCTCGTTGTGATGTTGCCACCTCCGGTACTGACGTCATCAAGCTTACGTTTTCAGGACAAGTTCCTGATCCTCGCCTCGGGCGGTCTGTGGGAGTACGTCACCAACCAGGAGGCGGTCGACATCGTGCACGCGATCCCCAAAAAGGTGGGCGTCGGCTGTCCACAATTCCTCCCGTTCTAGTTAGAACTAGGGTGGTGTAACGCGTATGAAGTCCGTAAGCGCATGGCCAAAACGGGCTTCCCATTGCCAGACTGTGAGCGGCAACTTCTCAGAAGACCCTTGTTGCGTTCGGTCGGGGGATCTCTGCTGTCGAAGTGTGCAAGTCTGTAACGGCGTTCAAGGGTCCGGGGCTTTCCGCCTCTCAAGGAAGCTTGTGCAAAAGCTCGCATGGTCCGCATCGAGATTTCTGGGTCCTTTCTCATACGCAGTCGATAAGATCAGATGATTTCATCAAACGTGTCTCTTGTATGTCATGGTGGTTCAGGCCCGTAGGTCGTCTCGGTCGAAGCAGGTTCGGCTTCCATTGTTCCCATTGTAAAGAACGGCAACCCCATAGTGCAACCACCTTCTGCATGCCGGAAATCGCGTCCAACCTGGTCAAAATTGGCGGTAACGCCTCAATAAGGCGCGTTTTGCAGGCAAATGCTGAGGCTCTCGCAAATGCCGAGCTCAACGATTCTGCCCGCAGGCAGTCGCGCGGCAAGACACATAATCGCACTTGACTGCGACGCGAGACCGGTCTAAGCGGTCTCTTCAAATGCCTGGCCCAACACGAGTTGTAACGGCTTGTCATTCAGGACAATGCGTGGCACCTCGCGAAACGCGCATAACACTAACCTTGTTTCTGCGCTCGCAGGAAATCGCGCGACACCTGGTCAAGATCGCACTAGAACGCCCGACAGCCACGAGATTCGAGAGATTCCGTACTCGAAGTTTGTCTCACAGAACCTTCCAAACCCCGGCCTTCACAAAGCTGCAAAAGGTGCATCTTCTCAGGGTTTCGCGCGGCATCTCGCACACTTTTGACCCTCTCTCCTGTGTTTGCAGGAGATCGCGCGACACCTGGTGAAGATCGCGCTAGAGCGCGCGGCGGCCAAGCACGAGATCCCGTACTCGGAGCTGGTCCAGATGAGCCCTGGCCGGCGGCGCGAGTTCCATGACGACATCACGGTCATCGTCTTTTTCTTCGCGCCCGCGAAAACCGCCGAGGAGCCCGCTGACAAGGTGTCTGGATGGCAGGTGGGTTTGTGATTACATGGTTATGAGGGTTGAGCTTTTAAAATTTAGGGACTTGGTCTTTGATCTGACATTCTGGGGTGTTTGAAATGGCGCCAGTTCCATGACGACGTCACGGTCGTTGTCTCCTTCTTCGCGCCCGCGAGAGCCGCGGAAGAACCTATCGACAAAGTATCTGGATGGCAGGTGGGTTTACTATTTCAAGCTGTTGAGGGTTAAGTTATTCACTTGGTATCTGCTTTTGGTATCTGCTTTTTGTTATCTGCTTTTGTATTTGCTTTTCCGCTTGCCTAGATCGGCGCAGAGTCCAGGATGAAATGGGAGTCATTGTGTTCTCCTTTTTCGCGCCCCCGAATCCCGCGGAAATGCCCACGGAGAAGATGTCGGGTTGGCAAGTGAGTTGTACGATTATAAAATTTCGGTATCTGGGTCTTTCGACTTTGTGGATTTCCGGCCTTTCGAGGTGGCTCCCCAGGGTTTGCTTTTTGGAAATCTCCCCAGAATTGGCAACAAGACTCTGCATTTGACGACGACGTTCCGATTGTAATTGCCCACTTCGCCTCCGCCAAAGCTCGCTTGTAAAGAGATAACCCGGTTGGTCTCTACTTCCGTACACGGGCTTTGCTTTCTGACTTACACGATCCTCCGCTCCTCTCCATTCAGACAACGGTGTCGGTAGTCGGTGGCGAGGGCTCCGATCTCGACACGTTCCGCAGCCGTTCCATTTCCAAAACTTCCTTTGGGCTCGAGGGTTCCGTCCACGGATCCGGACGCCTCTCCGAGTTCTCCCGTCCGGGTTCCGGCAGCCGGCCCCTCAAGTCGCCTGCTCCGCCGGAATCCAACGGAACGCACTAGGAGCGGAACCAGCCCCTGTTGGTGCGAGCTCGTACTAGCAGAAAAACGCTGGCGGGTGCGGCAACGTATATTGTTTGATACTCAGTCAGGCGCAAATATTGGCGCCACCTTATTCTTTGTGCCATAAATCGTACGTGGTTCGTCCAGTCGGGCTCAAACTGGAAGACCCATTCGTGAGCTTATATGCAATCGACAAGTGACTGAGAATTCATTGGGTTCCAGATGATACGATGTTCTACCTAAGCACTGAAGCTCCGACCATTTAACACGTACTCTTAACTGATTGGTTCTATCGGAAGAGCTCTGGACAAGACACGCTCTATCTTTTAGATAGATCTAAGCTATCTGAAAGCCTAGGTGTGATAGTGACAGTTATAGACATTGGTAAAAGAAAATGTTGAGGGCATGTGGAGCATGAGTCCTTTGAAGGTACGTGCTGGTAATCACGTACGCGGCCCTCCCTCAGACTTTGGTAACTCCCATTTCACTTTAGAGCCATTTCACTTAGACTAGGCGCCCGGGAGACGGGTAGGGTTGGCTTGGTGGTTAGGGTGGATTCAAGTGCGGAGCAGGTGATTTGGTCGATTAGGGTTTTTAGTTTGTTTGCCCGGGTAGCTCGGAATTTTAATTAAAATGGCGCTTATAAGTGACATGGAGTTAGTAGTATGGCCCTCAGCAATTTAGGGCAGTGACTTTATTGAGTTTCCAGATTGTACTAACACATGTACGCAGTGCTGAATTACTGCCAAGCTGGCAATCACGTGGATAAACAAATCAAGGACCAATATGCTGGCATTAGTAGTTTGCCGGCAGTTGTCCTGCATCACCTACCTCAAACTGAGCTCCATTCTCTAAGATGATTATGCATGAGTGCTTTGTCGGACACTGAGACTGCTAAGTAATCCTAAACATCAGTTCAACTCGAGCCAATATGCAATGATGAAATCACATCAGCGGGCGTCGACGTGGATGTGAAGGTACCAGATATATCCATGCTGAGGTGCCCAGGCGCGGGAGCTCGACTCGGTGTGACTCGGATGCAGTCCGACGTCTCGTAGCAACTTTGTATATTAATGATCACAAGAGCCCGCGCCTGATTTAGAACAGGAGCAATTCCGTGCCAGCCAAGTTCCCTACATGTGCACATGGGCGATCGAATTCAAGAACGCTGGCAAATTGCAGCTGTGCGCATATGCTATGCGCGCGCTTTGTATAAAACTAATCAATTCATATCACGCCGGTGACTAGCCCGGCACTGGCAGGCTGGATGATGTGCTCCGCCGCCCATGTCGCTTTCATGCAGCTCGCCAGCCATGAGAAAAGGAATCGAGGCAATGACCACGCAAATATCAGTGGCACATGCATAAAGCTTGGGCCGGCCCGTCACTGGCATCGGTGTGTTAGGTAGTAACGTTGGGGAGCCTGTGACCTTGTTGCGGTTGATCATGATAATGAACGTAACATGATTTTTGAAATCGCACTCCAAGAATTTGAGCCTCACGCTTGCAGAAGGGTTCTCCTGCACTTTGTCGTCTACCGCTAGATTCTATGCGAGCTGTGCGGGGTTCACTGGTTCGATCTCATTTGTAAAGCGGGGCTCCGCTCACGAAGCAACAACGCGGAAGGTTCATGTAAACACAGCGGACTCGACCATTTAAGAACAAAATTTCTTGCGTGCATGAGTGCGCAGCCTTTCCACCTAACCTAGGTACTCATTCGTAAACAGCTCGGCAGACTTTACACTCTCCCTCGAGATCTTTTCCCCCACCTTTCCCGCTCTCAGATCGTCTAGCGACGCGCTGACTCCCTCGACCGGGGCACGTGACTGCCGGGCTGACGTCAGCAAGCCCTCAGCGGAGAGCCAATCAAGGTACGTGTCCCACACTTTATCCGATTGAATGCCCCATCGGCCGTCCGCATTTAGGTAGTGTTCGGACAGTACCCGCTGGGACGCGAGCACGAGGCTCGGGTCTAGGGGGGACTCCAAACCTGGCTCTTCCTTCTTGGACAGGTCCTGGAATCAAAAGACAAGGAACGGTCAGTAATGGTTTAAGATTTGTACTTTGCCGACTCGTACATTCTTTCTAAGTTCCTGCAGTGATTCCCAAACCCGCCTCTTTGTCCTCTGCTTTCCTCAGTGGCTAGCCCTGACAACCTACTCAATGCGAATCCAGCTTATCGATTACTTCCGTCAAATAAAGACACTGTGTATAGGCCCGACAAACAGTGTAGATAGGTCGTCTCCCTCATGTATTTGGCCCGACATATTGTCCCCAAATCATAATTGACACGTGTCCGCTCCTTCAAAGCCGTCTCCCTTGTTCAAGCTGCCTCCAACCTAGTTCCTAATCACTTGATCTCCAGTACAAGCTGCCCTCCAACAATGACGTCCTCAGCCGCACGCAGCCACACGCACACAGCGCGCGCAAACAACTGCTCGACAGGAACTCCTCAACTAGTTCTCTGCTTAAGCAGCCCACCTTCAGGATGCTAGCCGCCAACTCTACGTTCTTGACCGCACATTCAAAACCCTGCGGAATACATCTGTCAAGGACACCTTAACCTTAGGTTTTCAACTAAAACGAAATCACTAACCCACCTCTAGGATGCTGGCTGCCAGCTCCATGTTCTTAGCCGCATACTCGAAGCCCTTTGCGGTCGGCCTCCGAAAGGCTCGCACGACTGGAAGCATGCTGAAAGTTCCGTAAACTAATTTCCTGCCAAAACCAACTTCACTAACCCACCTCTAGGATGCTCGCCGCCAGCTCCACGTTCTTGTATGCGTACTCGAAGCCCTTCGCGGTCGCCCTCAAAAATGCGCGCACGACTTCCGGCTTGTTTTGCAGCGTGTCCGGGTGGGCGACCACTACGGGGGAGTAGCCGTACGGAATCCTGCGCGGAAAGAGCGGAACTATTCAACACAGGCAAACGGAAACCGGAGTGGGGAACGAAGGCTTTCTGCGGTAGCCCTCAGAAGTGCACACATGTCTTCTGGCTTGTTTTGCAGCCTGTTGGGATGGGCGATCACTACTGCGGAGTAACCGTACGGGATCCTGCACGGGAAGAACGGAAAGATTGAATACAAGCAAATGGAACCGGAGAGCGGAAACGGAACGCTGTGACGGTCGCCTTTGGAAACGCGCGCACGATCTCTGGTTTGTTCTGCAGCTTGTCCGAGTGGACGACCTCGAAACGGAGTAGTCGTGCACATTTTGGAAGAGCTGAAAAACAGGCGACCGGAGCTGGAGAAACGGAAGTGAAGAGACCGGATCGGGAAAATGATGGGAGAAATTTGTTTGCAAGCGCACTCCTAGGGGTTGACTGGGGCTGCAATGAAAATCGTAGTTGACGAAGAGGACGGATGATCAAACCGAGGCACGGTCCATGCACGGATGAAATGGCTGGAATCTAAGTCAGCTTCTCGTACTGGTCTGCTTCTAAAAAGGGCGCCTAAGGCACGTCTACTTGCGAAACAAGGACAAACCCAAAGTGTGCCAGGACATACAAGAAGCAGCAGTTTCTGGTCGTTCCCTCTTTTATACCCGACTCAGTGAGGTGGTAACAAGATCCACTGACATCGGATTGAGAATGTGCCCCCATCTCTGTTGCGTCACTGCAAGGGGCGGGATCGAAGCACGAACGCTTCGGCTCACAGCTCAAGGCACGAGTCCGTGGTGAAATGCGTGCGGCAGAGCTCTTGCATTGTTTCTAGCTGCGGTCAAAGAGATTCTGGTCGAAACTTCGCAACGAGTCTCGAATCAGATTCACACGAGACAAACCTAGAACCCTTCAAAAGGATCTCCGTAAAGTGCTGGACCTGCCATTACGCTCTTGTGGGTTCGTGCAAGAGCCGTCAACGGACTACGAACGGGAGTTGCAACTGCCTTCAAGCCAGACAAACCAAGTTCGCAATTTCTTCGAACACTCTGCGAAAGATCTAACAATGAGCGCTGCGACATTGACCGTGTTGTACGCCAGACGAAACTGTCTGGCTTCGGGGAGGAGGCAGATTTCGTTGAGATGCGCTCAAACGGCACTCCCACGTGTGCCCACGTGTCCCAATGACCAGCCACAATCCAGTTTGCTTCCATGTGAATTCCAGACAACCGGCTATCCTGAAACTACTGTGAAGCTACTTCACAGCTATCACGAGAAGAACAGTCTTAGCAGCCCTGAACGTACCCTGAAAGCTTCCCGACTGAACGCGGGCGCCGCTTCAGGAAAGGAGTCAAAGCTGAAGGCGCTAGACTAGCAATTCAGAAGAAGCATGGCAAGTGAACGTCATTCGTGCATGGGAGTACCTTAACCATGCCGGCCGCGGCATGCCAAGCCTTCGTCGTGACAATGTTTGTTCAGAACTTGGAGCCTTGCTTTCTATCAAACCCGACCCCAAAGTACCATTCAAAAAGAGCCGCAACCATACGTCAAAGATACCAAGGAATATGACGACGTAGGCAACTGATGAGTGGTTCGCATTAGAGAAAAACGGAATTCAAGGTGCCCAGAAGGCAGGATTGCTCTTCCTCGCCTAACGCTGAGGTAAAACACGCGCACAAGAACAACGGAGTTGCAGAACGACGAGAGTGACACTTAACGTATCTACTTCAAGATTTCTCTTCAGGTTTCAACAGCCCGCGTGACTCTTGGCTGCCCCACTTTTTGACTCTTTCCACAGACAGCGAGCATCGAGTTTTGCCCTTAACGCGTGGAGCTTGGAATTGAGAAAGGACCGTCTAACCACCAGTTGCCGCTGGCTCGGAAGAACAGCCTAACGTCTGAGAAGGTCAGGTTCTCAATCGCAAGCGATTCGTCATTACCAACTCCAGGCTGACAGACTTGCAAAGACAACGGAAAGCTTCGGAAGATCGCATGTAGGACTTTTACCACACGTAAAATACGCCGTTCAAGGCTCTTTTTAAAACCTCTCGGCTATTCATTGTCTCCCCAGGCTTCCTTGTGCAGTGATGTCGCTTGTTGCTCTGATATGAGCTTTCTAACCGGTACAAGGCCATTTCCACTGGAGGAAGCTTGTGCGCGGAACGAGTGCACAGCTCCTACGTTTTGTCATTGCCAACCTTGAGCCAAAGGAGGAAACCGTGAACGCAGTCTTCAAATGACAAATTGGCTCCGGAAATCCAGTCGCGGAAATGCTCTCATCCTGGAAACAAAGTCCCCACCGCGGCAACTTACAAGAGCCCAGAAGAACAAGACCGGGCTGGACTACTCGCAGTAATTCTGTCGGGGTACGAGGACCGCAGTCAATTCTTATTCGAACTTTCCACTCCACTCACGACAGGCTGCTCTCTAAATAGGCTGACCAAGATTTCCAAGCCTTATCTTCGCATCCAAATGCGTTGGCTACGCAACTCGCACCTCAAAAGGCAAAATGAACGGTTGCACGTCAGTCTGGCTTCAAAGAAAAATAGAAGCCCCCTCCTTATGCTCTTATAAGCGGAGCTTCTCGTCATCGCCAGCCTTCGGCTGGTACGGATCGCAGAAGTTTAATCTGAGACCTTGTGACATCAGTAAAACAGCTGTGAACCAACCCATACTGAAACGCTTATTAGTACGGCACTTTTCATCAACTCGCTTCTTCTGTCGAGACACAAAAATAGTGTCCTGAAAACCGACATTATGCCCGTACGCTGCCAGCCGCCAATGAATGGCTGCTGAAAACGTGTTACAAGCGGAACAACCTTGCATCCAAAAGCTGCTCGTCGTTGGAATCGACGAATCCTTGGATCTATGGGCTTCCAAGCCCCGGCCCTTAATCATCGCCAGCCGTTTAAGGAAACCAACGCAGAAGGAACGGGAAGAAATGTCTACCGTTCATTTGATCACGAGAGCTGGAGACACACCCTTGGCCGCGGGTCTTTGTGAAACCCACGTCCTAATCACAAGCGTTTGCAGATAACCAATGAAAGAAGCGCGAAGCCCTCTGCAGAAAACTCAAAGCTGACACAGCAGCGCGCGTGATCGACTGAGCGCACCATTACGTTTACACAGCCGCTCGCTATTCCGACATCTTTAGGGCCATATTTGTGAGACCTTTGAGCAGGAGACGTCAGCACCATACGGTTGGACTTTAAGCGCGCTTTGAAGTAGAGGACCGCCGGAACTCGGTACGCGAGTGACTTTCGCAGAGTGGTCCTGTTGAACTGACAAAGATTGGGCGCTTTGAGGGGCAACGAACGACGCGATTAGAGCGCCAGACGCTCGCTCAACACATCAGGCATACTTTGAAGAAGACCTGTACACTTCGTGTACGCCTCACGGCTTGTCAAAGTTTGCCAGAAGTCAGAACAATGAAACGAAGAGCGAAGTTGGGGGCAACGCATAACCTGAATTGGGGCACTGTGTATGCTCTGATATGGGCGTCAGAGTCTGAGACCGGCAATGTACCGGAAGCGGTGAGGTTCAAACCCTCAATGATCGCGGTCTTCATTGTCGTTCAGCGCATCGTGGCCCTTTAGGACCAATTGACCAGCAGTCATGCAGAGGTACGGTACTTCCTGGAGAAAACTGGTTTCAGAATCCCAAGTTGACGGTGGCCGGAAGCATAAGCTGCAGAACAGCCTCACTCAAGATGCGAAAAACTTACGGTGCGCTCCACCTAGCAGACATTCCCAAAAAGAGCAATTGAAGCGGGGCAGGCGAAGCATGCTTTCTCGCAGCGAAAACCTCGCAAACATATTGCATCTCGCTCCAGATCAGCGATAAAGGTCGCCTTGGGATTTCTGGCTCTTGAAAAGGGTTGACCCCCATGCTTCCGTCCTCTAGTGACTTTCCACTTAGACAGCCAAGCAGAGCTCAACCAGCAGAATTGCATCAGCTCTTCGTAACGTGGGCAAGGCAAGGAATCTCGGCAGAAGCCTCGCCACCAACAGAATGTTCTGATGTTTCAGCAGAACTGAAGCTCTGTTTTTGGATGTGCCGCTCCTTAAAACGCACTGTGCAATCAGACGACTGGCGTCAGGCCACACATCAAAAGGATGGTGTGCTCAAAGCGAGCACCCACTGCACCAGGCCTTGTCACTGCCAACCTAACCTTGCCATCCGAAAACAATCGTCGAAGTAGGGAAGAAACACGTAAGTCCTCAGATCCTTGAAGTATCCAGACTGCTAGAGTGCAAGGGACTTCTAGAGAGGCGGAAAAGCATGTCATTCATCGCCACAGCATCCATAAGCAGCAATTAATGTGAGTTTCACTCGACACAACTACAGAAGCATTATACCCAATCAGGACAAGCCGAAGGCAGCTTTACATGCGTATGCACATTCACGTTAAAACCAGATGGGATATAGACCTCATCTTACGAGGCTCACAGCGAAGTAGACCTTCATGAAAACCAATATCCCTGGCCTGAGTGTCCGTTCAATTGCGACGCTGCTAGCCGCCGATCAACTGATGGTTGGCACAATTACCTGGGCAGTCCGGAACCTGCTACCAGACAATGATCAAAAGGTCCCACTGACACTCACAGAAACCGCAAACGGTCCACCGTTGTTTGGAAAACCCAAACGCAACTTGCCCTTTTGGCATCACGTGAGACCAAGTCGGAATTTATCGTCTTTACAACGTGGCAGCACAAATTCGTAGTCAGTTGCCAAATCAGTCGTATGCTTATAAAAGTAATGGGCACAGACTGCTCTTGAGATTGAACCCCGGGACAGAAAGCGTGAGCACATATCCTTAATGAGTTTCAGCACCTGAGGCTGGCATCAAAGGTTCCGCCGACAACAGTTGAGGTGTGCTTCTCGCACGTTTCAACATTTCAGAATTTCATTGCCAGCTGCGCCCTAAACTCGACTTGTTCGGGACGGAGTCAAAGGGGCTACTAGGAAAAGTAGTACAAGCACGAATAGACGCCGCATGAAAGTCGTATCATCTCTGCATTGGCAAGACGCGTTCATTCCGCATGAAAGTAAGCGGACTACACGAAGGTCAAGATCACGGTTGTGCTAAGAAGCCGCCACCAAACCAAGGCCGCCTTCGCTGATGGAAAAGGAGCGAGATCATTTGCTTGAGCATCATAACGTGCAAAGACATGTACCCATGTTATCGACAATGCTCGATCTGAAGAAACGGCGGGAGAATCAGTTGTCAAAAAGTCATCTCAGTCAAAGTACTTGGGTGAACAAAGAGCCGCCATATGGAGTCCGGCGGAGCAAACGGATCAGAAGCGGAACACACTCGCCATCAAGGTGCGCTCGTCGACTGGCCTCAGAACTCAAGAAGGACGATGTGGGCTTCTAAAGCCCAGGCCCTTGTCATAACCAGCTCCTTCTCGAAAGAGAAAAGGCAGACAACACTGTTGTAACAAAACTCGAAACACCCGAGATTAGAGGAAGAATAATGCACAAACTGACGCGCTCCAGCCTTCCACGGAACAAACGTAAGCTCGTAAAGCGACGCACGCAGTTGGTTGAGCACACCGTTGTCTGAAAAGTCGCTGCTAAGCTGGAAAGTCCCTAGTTACGTAGATCAGAAACAGTGTCACTCTATGCAGCGGAGGTCAGCAACAAAAATACCACAGCAGTCCTCAATATGCGCCTACGAGACGTTAACCGCTCGAAGTGGATGCACCGGTGAACACGATGAGGCAGTTCTGCACCCAAACAATGGCTGTGTATAAGCCATTTTTAAGGTGCAGAACGGCTGGGTATAACTTACGATGTCGGGGCGGTTTGAGGGACAATGACACGGACGTACTTTAGGCGCCAGACTCGCCCGTACACGAGGTCCTTATTCTACGGCTTATGGCTGAGATTTTTCTCGACGCCTTAAAGTGGGGATCGAAGTGAGGGGGAGACTTTGGGTCCGGATGCATAGGCTCAGGAGTTGGGGCTTTGAACGGGCGTCAGACCTAGACGGAGTGTGAGGCGACTTTGCTAGACCCTTAGTGATCGAAGTCTGCGTCATTGCCGCTGAGCCGAAGTTGAAAGCCTCAAACAGCACGCTCGTGCAACAATAACGTACTTCCGTCAGACACAAAATGTTCCAGTCCAAGTCCCATGGTATCCGCATAAGCAGTAAGAACAGCCTCGTTAAGAAAAGACAAGTTTGACAAGAAAGGTACGGTGCGCCTCCACATAGCAGAAAGATCGTAAAGCTCTGCCCCTATGGCAAGCGAAGCGAGACAGACCAAGGGACGGTTAGTCAAAGTCGATATCCAGGTGAAATCCACAAGGATTACTGTGCTCGAACTGGTGAAAATGCTCCTTGAGCATTTTTAGCAAAGGTTCACCAATGATAAGTTCTCTACTGATCTGTCCAATCCGAACCAACGGTTGAGATTAACCAGGAGAATGTCCTCAACCAGTAGAAGGGCACCAGCTACCAATATACAGAGGCAAGGCGAATGATTTAAGAGTCGGTGTGCACAAACTCCGCCACCACCAGAACGTTATGATGTATTGACAGAGCCAGAGTTCAGTTTTTGATAGTGTATCCTGATTTTGCACTCTGTGCAGTCCGATGATCGGGCGTCAGGCCTGAATAAGAACACCCATGGTGTGCTCAAAGCGAGCCCCCAGAGAAATCTCATGCCTCGTCCTAGCCAACCGGAGGTTACAATTTGAAGTATTAACTCAAAGAAGCAAAAGAAAGACTAAGGCCTAACTATTGACGTATCCGGACTGCCACATTGCTAGCAGCCTCTAGAGGGCGAGGCAAAGCGTATCTCTTCCCAAAGCAACAGCACAGCTAAGCAGCGAACCGCTAGGTCCAAGTCTGGCGTTGGAGGATTGCATCTCAAACTCTTCAAAACAAGGAGCGTGTCCACTGAGTCTCAAAATCATCAATCATGGCTCCGACAAATTGCCATTGCAACGTCCATAAAGAAAGAGCACGCCCTCAGGCCTTGTTGATCTGGCAGGCCTCAGGCTATAACAAGCCGGCACTGAGGAAGTTCGCTCTCATGGCAGTTGCTTTTGTCATTGGCAAAAGATTGCTTGTTGCAGCGCACCAGCGGGCGGTCGCTGAGATGCACGGGGGCTGTTGGAACTTAACCATGGCTGGTCAAATCATGATTGACAGCTTATCAGGCTGCTTAACTTTGCCTAAACCCTGCTCGACGTTTCTGGTTACCAGCGAACAAACCTGTGATGTGAACAATCCAGCGCCGACATATCAGCTTGCTGAAGATTGTTAATACAAAAAGTCCGTGCATAATGCTCATACAGTCTGCTCTCAGCCATCTTGGAAAGAAAGCAGACTCGGCTGAACCCTAATTCAGTCCCATTACGGCATACGGGTAGATCTCGCAGCAATCGCTAGAACGGGAAGCAAAGACTGTCGAAAACGGTAGACGGACAGCCTCGAGCTGAGTTAGACGATACCCGTAATGGCTGGCGTCAGCGGAACTTCCCGAGTATGGGTTCCAAGCTCTCAGCTTCACGCATCATGGCCAGCCAAAGCTGAAAAATCACTCTCGCTTCGAATTTTCTCTGTCGAACCTTGGCGCTCGACTCGTTCCATGTAAAAAGAGAAATGTTGAAAACAAGCGAGGGCACATTGGATGATGATTCACTTGGCCAGCTCGCCGCGCTCACTAAAAACCAAGTCACGTGGGTCATCAACATTCAGTTAAAGCCAGCAGATTTGACGCAAACGTTCGCAACACGCTTTAGAATACAAAATTCGGGCACAAGCACTTTCACTCCCGGCGCTTGAAGCTCGTGCCTCGATCCAGAAACACGCGAGATGAACTTGGTCGAACACTCATCCGTAGGGCTATTGAACACAAAAGCGACTATTTCACAACGCCCGTGAACGACATCTCTACTCCTTACGTGCTCATGAAGTGTTCGAATTACACCCTAGTCTTCAAAACTCAACTCCGACAATTCAAGGCAAAACTCACCCGAAGTCTTTGAGCACGAAGTCGTTCAGTTCCACCCCCTTGAGCTGCGCCTCGACCCCCTCCCACCCCCGGAAGACCCACGTGGCGTCGGCCTCCCCCTTCAGGAGCGTCTCCCAGATGCCCAGTTTCTCAGGGGTGTCCTCCGCGTAGTCGCCTTTGCCTCCGTCGGCTTTGATCAGAGCCTGCAGATAGACAGCTGTTGCGTATTCGTTTTCCTCGAGAGGGGGCTTTGTCGGGGTACTGCCTTACATCCACCCACCTCGATCAGGAACAGTCAGTATTAGTCACTTGTTGAAAGACCTCCACCGTAAAATGGATACGGGCTTTGTTCTCCGTGTAAAGCAATCTTGGCCCCGTCGATGTTCTTCGAAATTTGCAGAGAGACACCCATCGGTCAAACCCGTTTTGGAAACCTTTACTAATCAGGGAGTCAGGTAATGAGCATGTCGGGGATGTCTCTGTAACTTTGCTTTCACTGGCCTACACAGGACCTCTTGAGTGACACTCTATGTTCGCAAAAACGGCGATCGTAGCTCGCTTCCAAAACCCAAGCTGTCTTTGGCAGCATATGTCCAGTTTGCACCATAACAGTACTCTTTCGATATCCTCTGAGATTTGCAGACAGCCTACTTCGATTCAGCGTGGAGCATCGAGTAGTGTCAGTAAGGCCAGCTGCTCCTTTGAGATCACCACCTTCGCCTGGCGTTTTGCCAGCAACATGGGACTTGACTGACCAGGTTTGTATGACCCAGAGATTGACGCCAGTCATGCTCAGCTTTGCGCTTACAGTTGGCCCATATGAGGCTGCTCGATTGCTGGCAAAACCCACGACATTCCAGGTCGCGAACACAGCAAGATGTTCCAGGACGAATTCGCAAACACGGAGGACTTAAGGGACAGGGAAAGGTGTCTTTGCACTGACCTGGACAATTCTACCCTCATAGCGCGCCCCGTAGGATGCATACTTCTTTCCGTCCAATTCTTTTGGCCGCGAAATGCCGCTGCTCTTGAGCGTCACTGCAGTGATGGAGAGCAACACTTCTGGCGACGCATAGATGTTTGGATTACAATCCTGTTGTTGAAGGGATCTGGAGAAGCTCTTTGCTTCAACAATGTTTCATTGTTGAGGATGCAAAATCGTAATTGTTACAGGTTGGAAAATCAACATGCTTCGCAGGTGACAGTGAGTCCACTGTTCCCTCTGCTCTTTAAAGGGAACAGAGGCAGCGCAGTCTTGCAAGTGATAAATCTGGTACGTCACCTTCCTACTTCAGCTTTCTGCTTGGCCCTCCGCCATTACGACATAGGCACAACCAGACTGCTCTTAGACATCCGCTATCCAACTCCTTTTGAAGGCCCAAGAACTACCTTCTGTCTTCCTGCTTCACAACCAGGCTCCATCCCAACTTTTCCGACACATGCTTCGCACATAAATCTGTAAGTGGGTTGTGAAATCCGTAGCATCTCCACGTGGGCATACGAATAATGTAATGTGGTCTGGCGAAGTCGAATTGCCTACAAAATCTTCAAAAGGGGGCCGTACAAATTCCAGAAATGGAACCACTCAAACACATTTGGCCCAGGAAGTCACCTGTCAATCTGGACAACTTCTAGAACAACGAAGGACTGCTGCGGAAGAGTACGCCGACTCACCAATTGCGCTGAGGTCATCTTGGAGGAGCGTTGCCACCGACACCAGGTTGTCTCTGTCGGGGCTGGTATAGTTGCTCAAAACAGTCTCTGAGGGCGCCAGTGCAAATGCTGCAGCCAAGAGAGAGCCTCCAGAATTGCATTGGCTGGACTTTCAACAGCTCCTGAGCTTATTTGAAACACATAGAAGAATCTTCCCAAGATGTTATTGTAATTGGTGACTATCTGCAGTGCAGAGCAACAGTACTATGGTTCCAAGACAAGGGCGCCTATGACCGTGTTTCGCTATTGAGCTTCTGACCATACTTGCAGCAGAATTGACGATCAACTGCTGGCGATGGGATGGTGGTACAAGAAACGCAGTTAAAGTTGTTAATGCAATGACTGGTGCCAAACTTTCAAATGTGTAGTTGCATGCATGCAAACCTTCGCTCGGGAAGCTGTTGGGCAAGCTGAATTTCAGCAATAACACCTTTTCATAAGCTCCCCGAAACTCAGCATTCTAGGTTGTATATGGTGCTCTCTGTCTTTAATCCATTCAGAAGTTCCAAAATCCCCTCCCATCGCGGCACAAAACGCATGTTTTCAAACAGAAAAGGTCCTGGTATGTCAATCAGGCAGCAACTCGACTTACTCGCAGTTCTGTCAGTCACCCTGGAAGCAGGGGTCTTCTTATAGCCATCCACGTGCGGGCTCAGCAATTTCACATCGAGCCCCTCTTGTTCGTACCACCCTTTCTCCTTGGCAACAAAGAAGCCGGTGTGGTTGGTGTTTGGCGTCCAATCCAGAGCAACGATGACAGGAACAGCTGTCGCCATCTTTTCTTTCAATGCGGGCTGGGGTCCCTGCTGATGCTTGGAAGTTGGAACACAATGCAAAATTGTGCTGCCCTTGCAAAAGCTGTGCTGCCCTTTTCCAGGTTTAACAGGCTTAGGGTTTTGAGCACTTTCTGAACCGTTAGGGTTTTGAGGTTTTGGGTTAATATACGTGGGTTGTGTTGACCAACTTGCAAGTGCTTTTCTTCGATGCGACGGACTGACAGTGACAGGCAGTTCCGCAGTATTCAGGCAGTTCCTCAGTACTGTATGAACACCAGCTGTGTATACAGTAATTGGCTGTGCTGGCCTCTGCTTGGGCCACAATAGAGGTACTCTCGGGCAGAAAAGCTCCAAATGGGTTGCAGCCAACGTAAGAAACGCATGTCTTAGTGCGATCTATATTTGTCACGCATGCGGGCGCGGCAAGATCTAAAAGAAGACGGGCTGCTGCAAGCTGAACATGAGATCTGCCGTGATTCCATGGATCCGCATAAACCGACGGACACACCCATTCCCTGAATGGGCTTGAGCTAGGCTTAATCACAGACACGCCCATTCCCTAAATGGGCTTGAGCTAGGCATAATCACGGAGTGTGCAACTCGTGCGCGTGCGGTTCGTAGAATTATTTCAGAAACTTTTCACGGGCTGCATCAACAACTACGATTGAGCAATGACACTTGGATTATCAAACAAGTTAACCATGCGCAGTGCTCGAGGGCAGTCGATCACGCCTTGTGTTTGTATGGAAGGCGGTTCATGATACATGATTCACACTAATATCTGCGAGTTCCAGCCCTAGCCTGGGTACATGATAATTTGTGAGGCGCTTCTGAATTAATTTCACCACTCAATCAGTCGCCTGTTAAACGTCCCAGTCACCAACGAACCCCGCTGTTACAACGTCCCCCCAACTACTCATATGAAAACATTAATGAGCTGCTGCACTTGTCAGAGCTGTCGCTTTGAACGATTATGCGCTCGAAATGCAAAGGAACCCGGTACATGGAACCGACTCCCGTTACATTCTGAAGGTGCTTTTCGATAGATATCAACTAACAAGGAATTGGTTCCATAGGGCCGACACTTGTACAAACAGCAATCGGCCGCACCCTTCTTTTCGACAACGTACCCAGGTCGTCTTGCAAGAACCGCCGCTGCGTCCGTTGCACGACGTGTGTCTCTGCTCGAAGCTTGCAACAGATCGCAATGATGCAAAGTACTCAGAGAATTGTGGAAAGTCTCGGGAACGATCTTAAGGCGAAGTCGTTACATCTGGTTTCAATGACGGACTGATTCTTCTATTTGACCAGAGTCTCAGAAGTCCGTTCCAACAGTTTTGGCTCAATGCAGCAGGGCCATCCTTGCATTTCTTCTGCAGCAATTCCTCATGGTCCTTACTCGAACGTGCAATCATCTGACACCGCTTGCGACTCACTTTTCACCTTGTCCTATCTTGTTTCTACAATGGTCGAAGCAGGCTCAATCGTTTACCTTGCTCGAGCACGACTTCGACACCCTACGAACCAGATCCTTCAATGAATCACAACGTTCAAGAGAGCCTCGACCAAGCGCTTCGATGCGCCGAAGTGCCCAGCGGGGCACTCGACGTTGAAGAAATTATCGAATCATGTCTCACGAAGCTAACCCCGGCCACTCCGGAAACTGCATCCACCAGCCCTTGACTATGCTCTCCATAACATCTTTTGCCTTGCCCGTGACACTCTTCTCGTACCAGCTGTCCACCCGCTTCAGCGTCCCTTGGTCGCCGCCGCTCACTGCGCTCACCGGGCTGTCCCATCCAATTGTCGGCGACCACGTGTCCGTCCCAGCAGACGATTCGCCCGCCTCTGCATCGAAATCGAACCCCAGGGGCGACGTCGGACTGGGCTGCGCTTCGACGGGCTCCTTCGAACCGTCCTCGTCCACTTCTCCCGGGGGTACCGCCACCACCTTGGTCTCGGTCCCTTGACCCCCCGGGTTATCGTAACCCGGGCTCTGGTCCCCTGGTAACCCTGGGTTATGGCTCTCCCTGACTTGATCCACGCGTCCCCCGGGCACCCCCCAGTTGATTCCCCCGGGCCAGTCTTGGTACTGCGTCAGCCGCTCCAGCGCCTTGCGCTCCTCCTCCGTCATTTCTCCCCCCCATCTAGATTCCATCTCGCGCACGATCTCCCCGGGGGGATCCCCCGACTCCGCGGCGCGCTCGGCGACTTCGGACACTTCCGTTTGGATCGCGTCTCTCTCCGCCTCCTCGTCGATCTCCTTCGCTAGCTCCTCTTCGGCCTCCTTGAGCTTCTTAACCACGTCGCTCGCTAACCTAACTATCCCCCGGTCTCGTTTCCCGGGCGCTTCTTGGTCGGATTCGTACCGGAAGGACGACGCGCGCGAGCCCCGGCGCGAGCGCTCCGCCTCCTCCAAAGTTTTCAGCTGGGTGCCAACCTGCTCGGGGGGAAGAGACCAGAACTCGTCAAAGATCTCGTCCGCGTCTTCCGGGCGGACACCGGAATCGCCAGAATCGCTTCCGGCGGAAAGGTCGTTTGAAACGTCTCTTTGGGCGTCCGAGCAGCTTCTCTGGGCGTCCGAAAGCGTTTGATGAGCGACCGTTGTGTCGCCCATGGCTGGGGGTGGTCGCTGCAAGCGGAGAAGCGGAGACGGCGTCAGGACGCCGTCACAGTGTAATCTGGATCTTTGACGGGTCGGGCAGCTGACTACCTTGTTGCAGAGACGATTCCGCTTTGGGTAGGTATCTTACGGCCAGATAGGAAGGAGATTGTCGTTGTCCTTCGGCTGAAAAGTGGATTTTGAGTTGTATGAATGCAAACATTGCGTCTGCTGATTGTGATGCAATTCAGATTACAAGAGAAAGGAGAGTCGAACGTGTTGAAGAAGTCGTTCCTTGATCCACCAAGAAGCCTGAGGGCTCCAGACGAAATCTAAGACGATGTTGGCTGTCCTGATTGACTTGCGTAGACGATTTGCCCCTTAGACGCAAGGCGACGACGAGTGGACGCACGGTAATCTCGCGGTATGAAGAACGGGTGATCTCCCTCTTGCTTGGCGGAAGGTTGCGATATATGCTTTCCGATTCTGGATACCTCAACGAGGTGGCATTTTCTGCGCTAATCTTAAAATAAAAGTTCGCAGAAAGACACCACCCTGGAAGATTCGCACAAGAGAACAATCCTAAGCAACGTCGCTCAGTATAAAGCCGCAAGTGGGCTCATAAGTCTGCATACCTTAAAAATCTTGTTAGGACCATTCTGAAGCTGTGGGTGGCATCTTCCGGGGACTTTCTAATCGATGAGAGTAGCGTGAAATACTATACGGAGGTTCCAAGCATTAAACATACGTTCAATTCTTCTCATTCTGATACACGAGTATGTACTCGGAAGAATTTTTGTGAAAGTCCGGATGTAGACGTAGACCATGTTCTCATGAGTCTACTTTCACCACTCCTCGAAGGTGCCCAAAAGCGGGATCTCTGTTCTTAGTATACTACTCTTGACGCATCACCCAGGGCAATCACGAAATGTGTAGTACAAACTGTGTTTCTTCATATCGTATGCAACCTTTACTCAGTTGCTGCAGGTATTGTTTCCCCCCATAAACCATGCAACCAACCTCAAGCAACTTTAGCAGAATCTAAGTGTCAAAGACGAATTAGGCGGCGGGAAGAGACGGGCATTGTGCTCCGTAAAGTCAAAATCAATTGGGCAGTCAACGCATTGGAGCTTCTCCAGGCGAGCTCGTATCTTAGAAGCGGTTCCTAAAGCGAAGTTCCGCCTGCAAACATTTCCATCATAACTATTTGAAAAGCGCCCATGAAAACGCACTTCGCGCTTCGTTAAGCTCACCTAATTCAAACCCAAAGCATGCACGCCGCGCCTTCCGGTTACAATCTATACCTTGGTCTCGCCTCCTCGTATCCAACCATGGGGTCAACGCAGAGCTGCGTGAGACAAACCCAATCCGCACATCACGAGTATTCGAATTTGGCTGCGATTCTGAATGCTGAAGACCGCAAGACCTCTTCGCTTAAAGCGGGAGCACCTTGATGCCCTAGCGTTTCCAACGCAGTCAAACAATGCTTCGAGGAAGGATGCCGCATTAACGGGCGCCGACCGCCCATCCTGCGCTTGCGGAACTCTCGTCCTGCTTCATGCACCTTCTTGCTGGTTCTGTGTGGAGCAAGTATTGTTCTGTGTCGAGGTGCAACCTTGTGTCATCCAAGAGTGTACTGCTTTGGCGCCCTCAGTACCCGCCTCTTCTCAGAGACGAACCTACGTCTTCTCCGCGGTGCGCACGTGTCCACTTGGCGCATGTCCTAAGCATTCAGTCCACCTTGGGGAAGCTGCTCGAGATGGGGAAGAACTACTGTAAGTTCGGTCTTCGGACTCGCGGGTGTTCAAGCGCTGATGTGGCGTTTATCCAAGACATTGTCTGCTGACGTGGCGCAGCCAGCAGTTATGCGGCGGATAGGAAGCGCCGGCACAGGGTTGACAAAGGGACAACTTGAAGACCCGAGGATAAGTAATTGCATGCTGTATGTCTGGACCGTCCACATAGTCCGTCCGCATTACGACCTGCAGATGATCCAATTGGACATAATCAGGACCTTTCGACTTCCGTGAGCGCCGAATCGTCGATCTTCTTCAGAGACTTGGTACATGGCTTTCCGCAAGCTGCGCCGGGGTTCAATGCGAACGAAGCTCCTCGACGAGCTAGCCGGGCATACGTCAGCCGCGCTGTATGTCCAGGATCCGACGCCCTAGGTATGACAGCTCATGGCTGCTGTCACTTAAAACACAAATTTACTCAGCAAGATGTACACATGCCTTCATTGCAGATCAACTGACTCAGTGAAGAGTCAGCTGACAGCATACTGCGTTCAAATAGCTGAGTAGCGCCGCGCCCATAATTGACTGCATGCTCCCTAACACCAAAAAAGTTGCAGTTGCACGAAGAGCCCTATTGGAACTCGGCTTAACTGATATATATCGCCTTTGCCGGGTGTCCTTGACCTAGCTATCTCTGTGACAACATAATGCCTAGTGATGATACAGCTAGACGCGATCGGAGTAAGAGTTATCAAGCATGCAGATTAACGATTTCAAGAACACAAACTATTGTTCCTGATCGCGATGTCTTGACGTCCACATTTAACTTTCGAAGGCAGATGATTCACATGTGCAGCCCATATGCTTGAAAATTATGCAAACCCATATTTGGTCGCATGCAGCATATATATTTAGCACACAGATGTACGTGCGCTGACGCGCCAAATGCAATGATCCACTCAAATCACTTTTTTTGCGCAGCAGGGTTATCATTTGATGCAGAGCTAGAAGAATCTGTAGTTGGGGCTAATCCATATATATGTGCGCACGTGCTTAGCTCAAGCGCTGTAAAGATAGTATATGTAATTGCAATCAACATCATCCAAGGGTAAAGTTTTCGTTGCCATTGCGGGAATTGACTCGCGTTCCTGCACAATCGTGACTAATGCTGAGCATGCATCAAGGTTCTTCAATGGGTGCAAGCCCACGCTGGCCTGCCACCCTCGACGTTAGGCTGCTCCGGCCATGTAGTGTAGCAATCAGCGCTGCTACTCGGAAGTATGGAGAACTTTCTCTCATCGACGAGAGTGTCGAGCAAGTCTCCGAGCAGATTTGACCGTACTAATAGCTTAAGCTCAGGAACTCGCTAAGCAGAAAACCGAGCAACCCGCAAGCGCAACATGCCAGTGTCTCCATAAACCAGAACCTGACCTGAACAAGTTCACCTGACCTTGACTGCCCAAGCTTTAGCTAAGACGTCGCCACCTTTAAGATTGCAAGCATGATCCACCTCGGAACGTACTCTCATCCCCTCTCAATTCGCGTCGATTCTTGGACTTAACAACTCGGTTATAGTACAAACGAGCCCCTTAAATTGCGACTACTGGATGTTAGCGCACGCGCGGGGGCCCGGAGGCTCTCGCAAGCACGTGTCGATGGCAATGACGGCAGCTTCAATGGATGCGTCCTCTCCCTGTAAAACAGAAGCCTTGATTTGAGAGACACATTGGCTGCTCACGACGCAGAAAATCCGTAAGTCCGTGACCAATGTGTCACAATCCAGCTCCACAGAGGTTAACCGCCCCGGGTATTTAGAGTCCGTCATATAATTCTCATCCCCCAGGAAAAGAGGGGAGGGCAGGAGAAAAGAGGAGGCGGAGTTCTAACATTGTGAACCTCAGTCGCGCAGCAGTTGAATACAGGGAATCTGCACGAAGCGAAGTCTTCGCATCTTCGCTTCTTCGTTAAAGTGTTGTTGGGGCCCCTTCCAATCGTTTCCAGGCGAAAGAGACACCGTCTAACGCCGCCCATAACATACGTCCTCTGTACCAGAAGTGACTGCATGCCCATCCCCGCCTAGCTGCCGCAAAGGGCATGATGCATCGAGAAATTACCCGCTATAGGCCAATCCCGTCTTTCTCCACGCACTGTCGCACGCTCGTATCAAATTCGAAGCCTTGCATCACTTCGTAACAACACTACCTCCTTACTTTCATGGTAGCTTATTCGCGATAACCGTACAACAGACTGTCCGCTCTCTCTGACTCTTCGATCGCCCTTTTGACTTGGTCTGTTCCCTCTTATGTGTGAGCCCAAACATTTCGAAGAAACACGTTTCAGCCAGTGGACCATGTTCCAGACCTGTGACCGAAAATGGGCCCTGTTTCGACCAGCCACTAGCCCACCTTCTTCCATCAGACAATGAGCTCCAGACTTGACGTGCAAAGTCGACCCTAGGTCCAATAGGAGTCAACCACCTTCGTTTGGCAGGATATGTTGACTCGACCCACAGCCATAAATCAGGAAAAACCATGGAGACAATCCAACCCACCTTCTCCTGCCAAAGAAGAAGGTTGCCGTACTTCCGCGAGAGCCGGCTCAGAAGTTGACCAACGTTTAAAAAAGCAAACCCACTTGGTCTGCCAAAAGGTTATATTTTACACTTGAAGAGTGAGAAAAGTCATAAATTCATGGAGACGATCAAACCCACCTTCTCCTGCCAGAAGAACTTGTTGCCGTACTTCCCCGAGAGCCGGCTCCAGAAGCTCTTGGGCACGTTGAGGTCCACCTCCGCGCCGACGTTGAAGTTCAGAATGTTACCTGCGAGAAAGGGACAGATCTTCAGACTGCTCAACCTGGTTTGTCAAGTGTGTCCGCTTCGGGACTTGGAGTCTTCGGGGTAGCCGTGCAGCTCTTGTTCGGGGCTCTCGCAGAACGTGTCTACTCTCTGCCCAGTTGGCACGCTGTCGAAGTCGTGTTCACGCCTTCGTAAACGGGATCGAATTAGGTAGTAAAAAACCCCAAAATGTTGGGCCACTGTAAAGACAATCCTTATCCGGAAAAACTCTGGTCTCTTGAGATTGTCCGACCATTTGCATGCCCGCATGAAATCGGGAACGTTCCAGCACCCCTTTCCAAAAGTCCCCTTCTACTTTAGCACTAAACTCAACGCTTCTCCCCTTGTGATATGACGTGCTCGGAAAGGCAGCCCCTGACCAAGAATCCCGACACCTGTCAACACTTCACACACTCTGCTTCAACACAAGAAGAAAGGAAAGCGTCCAAAGACAGCCGAAGGGACCAGGTCGAACCAGAATCCCTCGCATCAGACCACGTGTTCTTGGTTTGCCTGCACGAGCATACTGCATCGCAATCTGGCCAAGCGCAACAACCACCGAACGCTTCATCTCCTTAAAAAGGGCGTCCGGGGACCGGTCCCCTCTCCCGCGACCAGATACTGCCTGAGTCCACGATTCTAGTTGCTGAAGGCTAGTTCCAGATGGGATGTAAGCTGTCGTTGAGTTCTTCCCCTCAAATTACGATGCACGAGTGTACCTTAAAAGCTGACTCCCTCGCTAACGGTCGAGCTGCTCACCTCCGAGGCTGGGGTCAGCGACGAACACGATCGACCGGTCGTCGACCTTCCAGAAGTCTCGGACGGCGAGCCCCGGCGTCTCGGGGTAGTTCTGTGCGAGCACGCGCAGCTTGTACCCCGTGTCGTCCTCTAACCGCTCCAAGTCCTTCTCCAGCCGCTTCTCCTGTGGGGCAATTTGCAGGAATGACGTTAGCAGTGACCACGAAGCCAGTGTGTAAGCTTCCGCTTTCTTAACAAGGACGGTGTTCCCTTCTCGAACGTTGCCAGAAACTGTCCTCGAGTGGAGATTGCCAGAAGTTAGTTCCCGGAACTTAACACACCATTTGAGACTGGGTTGATACTGAAGAGGTGCTTTGGGCGCAAGGTTCGCTCAGTCCTGACGCGTCCAACAAGAAGTCCAATCTAAACATTTTCGAAGCGGGCCTTCTTCATTTCTGTATTTCAAAGAACTAGAGTGGGACCTCACCTGGCCTTCTGAGAGGAACCCAGCTACGTCGATTACCCGTGCAAACCGCTTCGGCAGGAGCTCGGGCCTGTTCACACCAGCAGGCCGCGCTTCTGCTGGAGAGACGCCTGGGCAGAGATGCGAGCCAAAAGTGAGTTATTCGCTAAACCCACTTTTTTCAAAAATGCCCCAGAGGTTGAATTTGTTTTTTGACTCTTCTCTCCCCTTTAGTATTTCGTCGTTTGTTTCTTTGCCAGGAGACGCCATTGCAAAGCCTAAGCTGACATTGTGAAATCGAATGGACATTTTCTTCAGATAGCACGTTCTTGGCTGAAGAGCAGTCCTCAAGTAAGACGGCTCATCGCCACGGCCCATTGTGCCGATCACCTGAGACATCACTCCCGCGCCTAATCCGTCATGTCAGAGCACGGAAAACAAGGAAGTTTTGACCTATGCGCAGAAGACGCAAGATTACGATCAACTTCCATGCATGAAGCATTACAGTCTTCAGTTCAAGCGGCACTCCATATGCTGTGCCTTCCAAGCACACGCGGTCGTCCCGCCCTTGTTGGAAAAACCGATCGCTTTCTGGCTTGCTGAAAATGCACTTAGTGCACTTTGTTGTTCAGAGACACTCAGGAACCAGGGCAAGAGCTGGACAAAGTGTTTGAGCAACCCAACCTGGATAGTGCAGGAGCAGAAGCTAGAGCCACGCTACGATATAACATCCCTCCTCCGGCCCTCACTGATAAGAAAGCATGCTGCCGAGATACACCAGAACCTCAACTTCAGAAGAAGCTGAAGAAAAGTGCATTCAGACGCAGCTTACCTCCCGCCAGCATTGACACGCTCAGAACTGCTGCTGCCGCTGACGTCAGCATTCTCTTCGTCGCTGCCGATCTTTGCGCCTCACCTTCCCCTCTGGACGACGCCCTTAGACTCACCTGCTGGGTCTTCCGACAAGAGCGTCCCGCGACAGGAGCCCTAAGCGACAACCCAGCAAACGCAGACTGGGAGGAGCTTGCCACACGACTTTGAGACACAGAGCCATGCAATGCTGAGGAGGAGACAGCTCCCAAGTGGAAAGGACAGGAAGCGACCTGCGCCATGTTTGCAGACGTACGTATAATCCAGCAGACTTGGCTAGTACTAGTACTACTACTAGTAGTGAAAAGTCTGTGCTCTACTGAGGCAGCTGGATCACAGGAGCCATTGACATCTTTTGCTGGGGCACTTTTGCCCATGCTTCTTTTCTCCCCAAAGTCAAATGCAACCGGCGCCTAAGAAACGGCGTGCCGGTCAAGCAATACGTTCCACTTGAGGCAGGACTATCTGTTGTCCCCAATAAATTCGGTGATACCGACGGCCGGCATCTGCGGCAACTGCCCTTGTGTGAGGGGTAGGAGAATCTCAATCTGGGCCTCCTGTGGCAAGCTGCAAGCGCAAGCGACACGTGGGCCTCGAATCTCAAGCATATCATAGCCTAGGTCACGGTGCTTCATTCCTTGAAGGTCCTTCTGCTCGCATGCTCGCTCGCCCCTCAAGAGTTCAAAACCTACATTAGGGCGCCTTCTGATCACAGATTTTGGTTGATGCATATGGCAATACAATAGCAACACAATTGCATATCTCAGCTCAGAGGCAAAAAGCGCCTGCTTTCAGCTCGAGGGCATCTCAAACAATATCCAATATTTTGGGCAGCCCCCAAGCTCAGATTGCAAGAAATTCTCTCAACTACGGTACCCTTCTAAATTGCACCGGAGCAGTTGTCAACCTTTTCACAGACTGCACGCCTGAGCCGACATGGGTTGTTCCACCAGCAAGCCAGGTGAGTCAAAGGAGCTAGCTTGATTTTTTGAAGAGCTTTTGATCATGTTTTCAATAAAGACGTACCCATTCATAAGTGGTGCGAACACGTGTTAAGGGGGGGACCCTATAGCAGCCAGTTTGACCCTGTTGTTTGATGGCTAGAAACGAGCGTACACTTGTGTAAGCTGCCTGGAGGTGCCCTTGCCTGGACGAACCCTAGGAAAAAGTGTCGAGGCTTCAATTTTTCACTGCTTCGAACCAAAAGATTTTTTGGTTAGCGCAGAAAAGGTGATCCTGTCAGTCCTAGCTACCGCTGACTGAGCAGGGCCTCCCACATTCTGTTTGACTGTTTGGTGGCACATTGTTTTCTTTGAAAAGCAGGCGCCTTCACGATTGCATGTTGCCTGCCCTTGCGGCTCTGCTTGACCTCACCTTTGGCCTCCAATGGCTGATCGGTTGATGTGATTTCAACCCCCCAACCGCTTGGCTTGGACATGGCGTCTTGCTGTCGTCTGGCTCCCCATCAGAAAGTCCAATTTCAGCAGCCTCACCAAGTGTTGATTTAGGGTCAAGTGTAGCCCAGCTCAGACTAGCAGCGGTTGTCGTCTGCACATCGCTCCCAGTCCATCCAAGTACGCGGTTTTGAAGAGCTCAGCTTTTCTACTCTCGGATTACTGTCTGCAGCAAGTCTGACTCAAGGTCAACTTGAATTGTCAGAGAACCCACTGAAGCAGTTTATCTCCCTTGAAGCACAAACGTTCAAGCTCCAAAGTTACACAGTACCTCATGTCGCAATGGACCTGGACGTGTTATTTGGTGTTACTAAAGCTACTGCTACTCCTTGTTCCAGTCACCCAGCAGCAGCAGGGGGGCCTCCAAAGTTTAGGGAGAGAAGCAGAGTCCCTGGACCTGAAGAACCGGCGAGTGAAGGTGGGTTCTTCTATCTTGCCAAGCAGGGCGTCCTTTTAAGGTCTACGAGATTGCCCTTTTCTTGCCAACGACTTTTGGAGGCAAAAAGGCCGTGTGAGAAAGGCAGCCCAGTAGAATCTTCCGCTCCTATCAGATTTGCCATTACTGTTGGGCTCCTTGGAGCAATTTCAATGAGACTTCTCCCTGACTGCAGTTTTGGGTGCGCTTGGTTTTGCTCGGCGCTTTACTGTCCGTGGCCGATTTGTGCTGCCCTTTTGCCCATGTTACGTCTTGAGCTCAACTACCCTGTAGTTCAGACAACTCTATGAATCGCAGCGGATTTGATTTATTGAAACGCTTGTTCTTTTGTCTGCAGCTGGTGCTCCTTGGAGACTCAGGCGTGGGGAAGAGCTGCATAGTCCTGCGATTTGTCAAGGGCCAGTTCGATCCAAACAACAAGGTGAAAAACATCCCCTTCCAACGCACAACAAATAGAACAGGGAGTATCAAGAGGTTTCTCGAGGGAACCTTTGACCCGGAGATTTGCTCTTCTCAACAAGCCATCGTATGATAGCTTGCGGAGGCGTTCAGATTCGAGCAATTCGCAGCTGTCCAACTTAGTCGTTTCTGACACCCAGTTGTCAGATTTTATTCCTCTGTTTCAGCGTCCTAATGTTTTCTCCCTCAAAGCTTGCAGGTCACTGTAGGCGCTTCTTTCCTGTCCCAAACGTTGAAGCTCGGAGAATCGACCATCAAGTTTGAAATTTGGGTAAGTTCAGCTTTCCAGCTGGTCAGCAACAACCAAAACATGCGCTGTGTCGGCCAGCATCAGGGATATAGGAACCTGGGGTTTTGATTGTGTTTCTCATCTCTGGACGCCTCGATCGCTTGACCCTTTTGCAAAACCCGTGAAGGGTCGCACACTTTTTATGCTAGACGAGGTTCTCTGGGAACGTCAGCTACAAACGTCTCTCAATTCAGACGAAATTTGTTGCTCAGGACCCAAATCGGTTCGTGCCTTGCTCGCGCCTTGGTGCAAGTTAGGTTTCTGGATCAGAAAGAGGGGCCACAACTTTTGAACAATGCAAGACGCCTGCCAGAAGTGTTTGGTAGATAGTGTATAACACCGTCTCAAGCACCTCTGCCACGTGTTTGTCGAAGCTGACCTTTAGAATGAGCGAAGCTGATGTTTTGTAAGGTGATCGAAACTACCGCAGCTTAGACGCACTAGCCAGCGGGTACAGTCACTGACGCTTCCATCTTGTGCTACTGCAGGACACAGCCGGTCAAGAGCGGTGAGTCTATGTCCTGCTTCGTCTTTTTGTCGCTAATGGGTTAGGACCAGTCATGCCTTTGTTCACCAAGAAACCGGGTCACCGACCCGAAAATTACCGGAGAATGTGCCTTCGGTCGACATAAGGCGATGCTTATCCGTATTTGCTGTGCTGCAACTTCTTCTGCTTTTGCCGTCAGTGTCCAGATAACAGCATCCCCCTTTCCTCTTTAAGAGCGCCATCATCCTTACCCGAACACGAAAATGTGACCAGAAGCCTCTGACAACGGAGCGGTCTCACAAGCTGCACGCTGTCTCCCGCAGGTACGCTTCCCTGGCTCCCCTCTATTATCGAGGAGCTTCAGCCGCTATAGTAGCGTACGACATAACGGCTCCGGAGTCCTTTCAAAAGGCGCAGTATTGGGTAAAGGTGCGTTTGTCCTGCCGAGAAGTGACCAGCCCCTCCCGGTTTGTCGCATGCCCAACTTACTTCTTTTGGCTGATCGCTTAGTTCTTCCCTGCAAGCCGCTACTCGCATACACTCGGTATGGCGTCGATGTCCTATCGAGTAATCTTTCCACGCTGATGAAAACTAGCCTCTATGGCCTGGACATCTGTTGGTTCTTGGTCTTCGACGCGCTTCACCTGTGCTCGTCCAAGCGTTCACAACAATAAAGAAGGCTTGGGTAGCTCTCGTGGGTCAGG